TCTCCTCGAAACCCCCAAATCATTATCGTTTGTAAAACCTAATTTTTACATGAAAGAAACGTCAATCCTCGGGATCTGATGGAACTAGGGGGAAATGAGGCAAAGTGAGTGGGAAGTGGCTGAAGCCAATATAACCCTAAAATCGAAAATACACTTGTGGATTGGTGATCGAATCAATTTGATCATAGAGGACGTAAGAAAGACGACGAGGAATACCGTCGGGTGTATAAATCAGAAGGACAAGAACTGAGACGGGAGTTATTTGATGGTGGTGAACGGAATAGTAACGGCGAGAAGGAAAGAAACACGGCGAGGAGAAGGCTTGACAAGGAATTCTAGAGAAGTCGGGAACTGATTACTGTGCTGAACTAGGGGTCGAGGGCCGTAGGCGTAGGGCGGATAGAACAATGAGGACATGAGGGGAAGGATAAAATAAAATACAAAGGGAATAAATAATAATTAAAGTTCCCATCTTTAAAAATAACAAAGAATGCCTTGTTCATTCTTTCTTTCTCTTCGTTTTAGTGGCAATTTTTTTTTGCATGTAATCATATAATACTTTTATCGGCAATTCAATGTGCCTCTAGTATTTTTCCCTTCAACGAGTTTCCGTAAACGGCCCCTAAAATAACAACTTACATATAACTTTAAAATAAATAAAAAATGAATTAGAGACAAATAATATAACTTTTAAAGGCAAATAAGTAAATTGTCGCTATATACAAAGTTTTAGGGGCTGATATATAAAGTGTCGCCACTATTAGCCGCTAAAGCTCATTTTTCTTGTAGTGACCACATGAGCAATAAATGAGTTATTGGACATTACAAATACCACATTGACAATTAATCCATCCAAACGACCCCTAAGTATTGCTTTTGTTGCATGTTGACCACCTATTTATTTAGTTGCAACTAAATCATATAACTTCGCACATAGTTGTACCAATATATTTCTGTTTCCAAACTTAACGGTAGTATCAAAATGTAATTATTCACTGTTATATTTTGAGTTACATGAGGAGCCACTTTTATCCCTCTTTCACCTGGGTGAAAACTTTTGAATCCAAAAATTCTTTATTTAGAGCCTTACACAAATGTCATTCATCAAATCCGCGATATCAACAAATATATATATTTGATATCGCGAAACAAATACCGACCTGTGATGCCAATAATTTTGTCAAGTTCAACAGCCCCCAGAAGGATACCGGGTTGGATCCGGTGCTTAAGCCTATAAGTTTAAGCAAATGCTTAAAATATTCCTATTGGTTGATAGTGGATTAGGTAGTTAGTGGAAGGTAAGTAGTTAATAGGTAGTTGAGGGTAAATTTGGTATTATGTAAATATAATGATTATAATTAATATTATCAATTAATGTTTCTCTTTCTCTCTCCCGACCTTCTCCATAACCCTCTCTCTCCACTACAATTATAATTAGAATGGAAATTCATAATTAATACAATTAAATATTATTATTTAGTATTTAATAAACAAGAACATAATATTTGTCCCTTTTTAAAATGGAAATTGAAAATTAAAAAATATCCGCTCTCTCACACTTCGTGGTAACTTGCAATATAGTATTAACATTTTGCAATAACATTATCAATGTTTATGAAATGAATTATTTATTACTATACATTGTAATTATTAACAATTTTAATATACTTATCAATTCATTACAATTACATTATTAACAATTTTGGAAAAATTGTTACCCTTTTTTCATTTTTGTCATCAACGCTTATGACTGAATCATTAAAGTTATGTAACATTATCATTAACAGTTTGAATAACAATATCATTAATTTACAACCTCTTTACTTATGATTCACATTTTCACGTCAAGTTTATAACTTTCTCATCATGGCCCTCTTCCAAAGACTTTCAATGGCATTGTTAACATTTTGCGATTAATTGATATCTCTTTAAATTATCGTTCTCAATGATCATAAAGCACAATATTGATTTTCAACATCTTCAACACTTGTGACATAGTGCACATGTGACTATGTAAAGAAAAATAGTAGTTCAAGCAAACCAACATTCACACATGTGCACTAAACTTCTAATAACAATACAATAAATCCTTGATAACGAAAAACTATTTCCTTGAAACTAAACCCAAAACATCAATAAAGTCCGACTTAATTTTAATTATCAAATATCATCCAAAGTGTTCATCAAAATGTTGTTTTTCGTTCAAATCTAAAACAAAAACGTTAAAAATGATAGGCTTTAATATAAAAAATGACATCAGGGTTTTAATAATGATATTCAAAACCATTAATAACAAATGAGGAAATCACTGATAAGAAAATAAAAGTTCGTTGAAAATAAAAGAAATTATTATTACTATTCAGATGCAATGTTTAATGTCAAATACCGCTAAAAACGTATTAATAAAATATTCGGTCAAGCTATAAAAAACTACTAAAAATGTTAATAACTAACATGTGTTTCATGGATAATGCAATTAAAATGGCTATTAATTACCTTCTAAGGTATTAGTAATATCTTAGTTTCAAATATTAATAACTCTTATACACACTCATTAATAATTACACCAACTACGTTACTAAATTAGACTAAAAAGGTTAATAACAATTGTTATATCATTAACAATACCTTACCATCCCCGTTTACTTGCTAGCTATTTCAATCTCTTTCAAAATATTTGGTAATGATAGCAACTAATGATTATTAATTATCTTACTAGATGTTATTAATACCTTCCTTGTAAGACATTGATTACACTTATATACACCTATTAATAATGATACAAACTAGGTTACTAATGTAGACTAAAAGGTTAACAACAATAGTTATATCATTACAATACCTTAGCACCCCCTGTTGCTCACTATTTTAGCCCTTATTAAAGTTTCTTAAATAATTTGGGGTTATTAACAAGATCACTATTAACGAGAACGTGTTGTTTCTCAACGGATAATAAGAACATTACCAACAAAATCTATAATCACTATACCAACTTCATACCTCTCACAAGAATATTATTAATTAACCAAGAACATGCGCTCCCAGTCATAGGCGCGACATATCATCAGCGCTCGTTTGCCGCCGCTTCTTAGGCTTTAGATTTGTCTTGTCGTGGAGAGGTCACCGTATAGTTCCGGCCTGCAGTCGCTCCATGGGTGGGGAAACTAACTCGTCGCCGTCGGCTTCGGCACTCCGCAACAAGAACTCCATCTAAAGCTCGACACCGACAGTTAGATCTCGTGGTTGCCGACCTGGCAAAACGACCGTCTCGATCGTAGAGCCTATTCCACCTCCAACGTCGGGCGGTAGGAAAGTGGACGGTCCATTTTTTGGAAGTTACAAGTGTCGCCTGGATCTTGATGAGGAGATTGTTGTGCAGCCGCAAGAGGAGATGCACAGTCGGAAGGTTGAAGGGGAGAGGGAAAAATCTTTCCTTGAAACAAGCCGAGGGCGGAGAAAATGTATAAACCCTAACTAAATATATCACGTTAGATTTCAAAATAATTAAAATCTCCTAATGCCCTAATTACCCTTTAACCACCGACTAACAACTAACATCCATAGATTAACTAATTTCCTATAAGCCAATAGGAGAAGTTTAAGCAACTGCTTAAGGTTTTGGGTTTAAGCACAAGAACCCACGCCGGAAGACCAAGGCCTAACAATTGGATATACTCAAAATCAAAAGCCCCCGACGGCGACGACTTCTTGCGGATCTGACTTCTTCAAAGTTTTCGGTTGATTATGTGTTGACGGAAACGGGGGAAGTAGTAGAGCAGACGCCGCCGCGGTTGGCGAGAACCACTTGTGGATGGAGAAAAACTGGTTCGTTTTAGCTTATATTACAATTTATTCATTCGATACTCACCATTATAATCTAAACAAGAAACACCAACAAAATGACAGGAAGTTAATTAATTTGTACCATCTAATTACGCGGGAGAATTGGCGATTAGTGCAAGGAAAGTGGTTAAATTCATGTATAGATGTCTTACCATAACTTAAATTATCGATATTAATTGGTTTATGATATGGTATCAAAATTAATTTGTTAGTGATATCATATGTTTATAAATTAACGCATGGCCGTGACGTCCAATATTAACGCATGGTGTAACGGCCTAACGGGTATATAACTTAAACTTCAAATCCATTATTTTGACTTTCGATTGAGGAGTGTGCACGTGTAAGTAGTGGCGGACCCTGAAATCTAGGGGGGGGGGGGGGGGGGGGGTTGAGAAGGATGGTTTTGAATAGTGGTAAATGGGGATGGGGTTAAGGCCTTCACGACTAGTCTATTTCCTAAATTTGTACAAATTTTACATTTAGTTTTACCTATATATATATATATGTTTTTTTTGGGCAGCCCTCCTAGATATAACCTAGTTTCATCATTACGTGTAAGGAAATGGTTATGATCCGTACATGAATCTCTCCCAACAACACGAGTTAATGAGAGGAACCGAAAGCAATTGCAAAGTGACAAGTCGCTAATGAAATTGCATAATTGGTTAATCAAATTTATGAAATTGTGTAAGATAAATGAAATTGTATGAAAACATATGAAGTATCACAAGAAATGTCAACCCTAGTAGGAATTCCTCGTTACTATATATATATATACTATAACACTCAACAAAGATCCATCAACCATACTGCATACACCGAACAAACATGTGATTCGGTGATTAAATTACCCACTTGTATGTTTTGTCTTGTGGAAACATTAGCCACTTGTTTGTCTTGCCTTCTGAATATTTTTTAACAACTTGTATTACTATATGCGTAACTTGCCCACGTTTGAGCACCATTACATAAAAATATGCAAGTCTTTTTAAGTGTCGATACATCTAGCAACTAGCGTTTAAGATATCCTTTTACAGCACCGTTTACCATTTCTTACTTTTCTTCTATATTTCGTGACGTTTTCTCTTGCTAGACTTTCAAACCAGCAGTACTAGAACATACTATATATACACAAAATGCATGCATGTCCGATTACTCCTCATCATCCTTTCCTGTATCTCCATCGATTAAACGCAAATCCTGTTCTCCCGATTTCGAGCTATCGTACCTATACTCTCGTCTGGAAAAAAAAAGCCCAACAAAAATGGGGAACTTACTGTTCTCCCTATGCGTAGTCTCTCTTCTGCTCTCCCAATCAACCTCCACACCTCCACAGGACCCGATCCAGTGCACCTCACCCCACAACACCAACTGCACCGTCACCAACTCCTACGGTATATTCCCCGACCGGTCCACGTGTCGCGCATCCAGCGCCGCATTCCCCGCCACCGAGGACGAACTCATCGCCGTCGTGGCCAACGCCACGAGGGCCCAACGGAAGATGAAGGTGGCCACGCAGTCGTCCCACAGCATCGCCAAGCTGGTCTGCCCCGACGGCGGCGACGGCCTGCTGATCAGCACGAAGCTGCTCGACCGCGTCCTCGCCGTCGATAAGGCCGCCATGACGGCGACGGTGGAGAGCGGGGTGACGCTGCGGGAGCTGATCGAGGCGGCGGCGGGGGCCGGGCTGGCGCTGCCGTACGCGCCGTACTGGTGGGGGCTGACGGTGGGCGGGATGCTGGGGACCGGGGCCCACGGGAGTAGTTTGTGGGGGGAAGGGAGCGCCGTACATGATTACGTGGCGGAGATGACGGTGGTTAGCCCCGGTGCGGCGGAGGAAGGGTATGTGAAGGTTAGGACGCTGAAGGAAGGTGATGGCGAGCTGAATGCTGCCAAGGTCTCGCTTGGAGTCCTCGGGGTTATTTACAAGGTAATGCAATATTATAGCAAAGGTTTTCCAAGTATGTAGGTGAAAAATAGTTATGTTAAATGGTGTCTCTCCTCTAGCCTTGATAGCCATTGCAATTGAACTCAAACCACAGGTATCCAATCCGATCCAATCCCGGTAAAATGAATAAAATTTAGTGCTGACGGATTTTGAATCGGGTGCGCAGGTTTTACCTGCTTTGAAATTGATGGGTTTGAATTTAGTCAAAACTCAAAACCCTGCTAACTTTCCACCCGGGCCCACACTCGTACGGTAAAACGATATCATTTTGTATCTAACCGAAATAATGTGAATAGTTTATGATTGTTATTAGTCTTTATAATGATATAAACCTAGTAATATGGATAATTTATGAGTGTTAGAAGTCTTTATAATGTGAGTATTCGGAAAAAAATAATGTATGATTAGTTTCGTAAACTCATTTTACTCATATGTTGGGTTTGGGATGAGATTAGGTGCTAACCCTTATAGGGTTAGCACCGTGATAACTAGCAAAAATCACTACGGATTATTATAAAATCAATACGACATCTAAGCTAAATCACTACTAATTCAAACTAGTAGTAGTTTTTCCCTTGGTTAGGACGGTGCTAACTATTGTACAATTAGCACCGTAACCCCTCCCATTGGGTTTCCTTCTAACCCAAAAAATATTTTACCAGACCTTTTTAATGGATGCACCTGTTGAGTTGAGAATTTAGAGAAACAGTAAACTCAAGTACTCAACCCAACTATTGCCAACCCTAAACTTTGATCAAGAACTTTGTCTGTCTTTTTTCTTTTGAATTCATACACATACACACAATAATCCGTCTTAATTTCTTTATTGTAGGTGACTTTAAAACTTCAGCCGATGTTCAAGCGATCCGTAACTTACGTCGTTAGAAACGACACCAAATTTGGAGATGAAACGACAACGTTTGGGCTCCAGCACGAGTTCGCTGACTTTACATGGTACCCTAGTCAACGCCAAGTCATCTACAGAATCGATGACCGCGTTCCTTCCAATACTTCCGGCAACGGCCTCTACGATTACTTCCCTTTCCGCTCCACACCTTCCCTCCTCCTGGCCGGAGTCCGAATCGCAGGTACGTACCAATCAACAAATACTACGCGTAAATTAGTCATATTCACATCAAACACGAATGACACGTAAAGTAACTCGTTCGTTTGTGTTGTGTGATTGTTTTCTACAGAGGAAGCTCAGGAATACCTAAAGCACGCCGATGGAAAATGCGCCGGGGGCAAGCTCACCACGGCCACCCTCCGCGCCACCTCCTTCGGCCTAACCAACAACGACTACATCTTCACCGGATATCCGGTCGTCGGCTACCACAACCGCCTCCAGTCGTCGGGAACCTGCCTCGACAGCCCCAACGACGGCCTCATCACGGCCTGCCCTTGGGACTCGAGAATTCGAGGCGAGTTCTTCCACCAGACCACCTTTAGTCTGGACCTCTCGGTCACAAAAGACTTCGTGCGCGACGTACAGACCCTCGTCGCCCTAGACCCCGAGTCCCTCTGCGTGCTCGACCTCTACAACGGCATCCTCATGCGCTACGTCACCGGTTCGAGCGCGTACCTTGGGAAGCAAGGCGACGCGCTCGACTTCGACATCACGTACTATCGAAGCGAGGACCCTAAGGCGCCGCGGATGTTCGAGGACGTCTTGGAGGAGATCGAGCAGATGGCGGTGTTTAAGTACGGAGCTTTGCCTCATTGGGGAAAGAATAGGAACGTGGCTTTCGCTGGAGCGATTGCGAGGTATGAGAATGGAGCGGAGTTTTTGAAGGTGAAGGAGGAGTATGATCCGTTGGGGTTGTTTTCGAGCGAGTGGACGGATCAGATTCTAGGGTTGAGAGATGGGTTGACGATTTTGGGGGAGGGTTGTGCTTTGGAAGGGTTGTGTGTTTGTTCGGAGGATAGTCATTGTGCTCCTGAGGAAGGGTATTTCTGTAGGTCGGGGAAGGTGTATAAGGAAGCTAGGGTTTGTAGGTATGAGGAGGTTTCCGGGGTTTAGGGATTGTGTGGTGAGGTGTTGATTGAAGGAAATGTTGATGTGTATCATATGATGTTTGGTTTGTTTAGTTTTGTATCATTGGTAGAAGGTAAAATAATGGGAACGGTGATTATGAGAATTGTAGATGTTTGGTTTGTTTACCCATATTTGTATTAATTGTAATGAAGCTTACATTTATTAATAAAACGATATGATAATTGATAACTACATATGACAGTTCTTCGAATTTTGTCTATTGTTGTTGAAGTACAGATTGTTGAAACATATACTCTCTTTGGCAACAAGGGGGTGCAAATTCAAGGAGGGTACAAATTGAGGGGTAAATGATAGGGGGGAGTGAGTTTAAGGGGGTGCAAATTGGAGTGCAAATTGTTGTTTGGATAAAAAAGTAGGAGGGTGCAAATTTAAATATAAAATATAAATTTAATAGAATAATAATAAATATAAAATATAAAATAACCCAACCTCACCATTCACTCTCTTCCTTTGCCCCACCACCTCTTCTCTCTCTCCCCCACCAACGTTCCTTCCCTTCCTCTGACCCCACCACCATCTTTCTTTTCTTCCTCCACCATTGACACTCCAAATTGGGGTGCAAGTCTGAATAGTAACTTTGTCCACCTTGTCCACCTTTTGCACCCGCCTGTCACTGTATCAAATTATCCAAACAAGAGTATTTGTCTTGATTCTGCCACTTACCCCCAGCTTCTTAAACCCCCCCCCCCCCCCCCCCCCCCCCCCCACACTTCCCAAACAGAGCATTAGGGAAAATTTTGGACTAATTCCACCTGAATAGTCCAACTAATTGTTATTGCTATACTCAATTATTTAATATTATGACAATCTTAGTACAAATTATTTTTATCTTAATATTAATGGATTAATCTTAGTCCAATTTAATTTTTTTTCTCTGACAAAAAGTTAATTGATAAATCATTTAAAACAATAAAAGTATAAAACTAATTACCTTATGAGACGGTAACAAGGTAGAGAGCACTGATGCCGATGGTGGGAAACCTATGCTTTGGTAACTGTAAATTCTGGTAAGATTGATAATGTGTTATAAATTAAATGATAACCCAGAACAGAAAAAAAAAAGAATTATATTTTCTTCTATCTTGCATTTATCAATACATAACATACCATGAATACTATCAGAACAAGGTCGTGATATTTATCTTTGGCCTCAAGTCGAAAATCAATAGTCTATATTATTGACCTCCGCATTTGGAAAAAGACTTGGAATATCCAAGGCCAATCTAAGGTTAAATTCTTCATATGGCCTCAAGGTCATTCTTCCCAGTTCCCATAGTGGTAGCGCTACAAACCCGTGGAGTTAACTGTCTCAATTGATGCCACGTGTGTTGGAGACATCAAGAGAGCATTGAACACTTATTCTTCAGATGCCCACTAGCCACCACGTTGTGGATCTTAGTGGGATTGAGCAACTTCAATAATTCCGCCCCGACTGTTATTTTAAGTATATGGTGGCGACATGTCATGATTTCTGAGATATCCCCATTCCACATTCTCCAATGCGTCTGTTTACATTGGTGAATCTGGAAGTTTAGTAAATAAAATAACTTTTGAATTCTACCAACCTCATGTCCGTCATACAATTCTACAACCAGGTCTTCTAGCCTCCAATTTTCACCCTCCTCCCCCCCAGATCGCTCCTCCCATATCCTCCTCCTGCGACTTGGGAGCCTCCACCAGAAGACTATTTGAAGATCAACTTCGATGCAGATGTTCGCGACTCAATGTGTTCGTCTGGTCTTGTTATCCATGGGTCAGACGGGCATGTGGTGATGACAGCCTAGTATGCGTTACCATGGAGTAGTCAACCTTTACCTAACAGAGTTCCTCGCAGTAAGAGATGTTATCACCATCGTCGCCTCAAGTTCCTTGACTCACGTTATGGTGGAAGGTGATTTTGAGGTGTTCGTCAACCAGATTCGGCAAGGTGTCCTAGAAAATTCCTTTGGAGGTTCGATGATCCAGGAGTGTCATCAGATCCTAGACTTTTTTGTTAGTTTGTATAGAATTTAGGACGATTCCTAGAGCCGCCAACAGTGCTGCCCATAGAGTGGCGTGTAAAACACTGCTATTGTCTCTCCTAGAGTTAGAGTCTTTCGACTTTATTGGGTGGCTTCACTAGGGTGTCGCTTGTAGGGGTTTCCTGAGTAGTTTTGTTTATATAACTCTTGTCCTCTCTTGATATCACTCAATTTTTTTTAACAAAGTCGCTATTAATAAGCATGCATTACGAGAACAAATAATACCATGAATTAGTACTATCACCACAAGGCCATGCTATTACCTCAGTGACCTGTTGATAAAAGTCTCGTCCAAACAATACACCGAATAGCCTGTAAATTCTAGTGTTACGATGCGATTTGACAGTGAAAATACTCGATGCGTTGACAATTTATAGCAGTAAGAAAAAGTTCAACCATAATTTCATAACAAAATTTATTGCTAACTTTGTTTTTATACAATCTCAAATACACTTTCTTAATTTTTTTTGGCAGGAGTTTCATAATCTTTGATAGCATGCAACACTTGAAAGATAATAAATATACAACCGCCTCCATGCTAACCAATCAGATTCAGCCAGACAGGTACAGTTAACAGAAAAAAGGTAAAAATAAAACAATATTAATTCAAGTCAATAAATTTATTAGAGTGGCACAATTGGCAAATAATTAACATCCATAACTGCTTCCAATCCTTCCCACCAACTAATAGAAACACACATTAATACCGCGGTAACTTTTTCTTCTCTCACCCCCATTACACCTCCAACGACTACCCCAGTCCCACCACTGTCGTCGCGGTAACTATATCATGTCGAATCAGCAGTAAAAAAAATTAACAAAAATAGTAAAACAACTCCAACACCGCAGCCATTTTTTCTACTCCCGTCTCGTTTTTACTCAAACGGACATATACTCCCGGCAAGAAGGCAATCCACCGGATTCGCCCCAACCAACGCGCACTCCGCCGCCGATCGCTGACGTGGCCTCCCCACAATACAATTCTTCCGATCATCATTCCCGTCCCGCAATCTCCCGCACTCCGCCGGCTCGCTGGTGAAGTAATTGAACGCGTACACAAAATTCTCCAATTTCGGCAACAAACAAATCCCTCTCGGAATCGGGCCCGAAAATTTATTATGCCCAACATCCAACTGCTCCAAACTCACCATCCCGCCGATCGAATCCGGCAACGGGCCCACCAATTTATTACAGCTCAGATCCAACACCTTCAGCTCCTTGAGCTCCCCGATTTCGGGCCTCAAACAGCCCGTCAGGCCCAAATTCGCGAGGATAATCTCGTCGAGCGTCTCCGCCATTTGGGCCACGCTCGGCGGGATGCAACCCGTGACCAGATTGTTCGCCAGGACGAGGACGGAAACAGGGGAGTTCCCGAGGTTCACCGGAAGCAGAGACTTGAACTTGTTGTCGTTGAGGAAGAGCGCGTCGAGCGGGAGATCGAAGACCTCCGGGGGGATTTCGCCGAAGAATTGGTTGAATCTGATGTCGAGGAATTTTAACGAAGGGAGGTAGAGGACGACGTAGGGGAAAGGGCCGGAGAAGAGGTTGTTGCTGACGTCGAGCTCGTGGAGGATCTTGAGGTGGAGGAATGAGGCGGGGAGCTTGCCGCAGAAGCGATTGGAGTTGATGTGGAAGAGGGCGAGGTCGCGGAGGAGGCCGAGGTGTTCGGGGAGGATTCCGGCGATGTCGGCGTGGTTGAGGTCGATGCCGGCGACGGTGAGGAGGGCGGGGTTGTCTGGGGCAGGGGCGCAGTAGACGCCGGTGTAGTTGCAGACGTTTGGGCCGGCCCAATTGGAGGTGAAGCCCAGTGGGTCGGAGACGATGGCGAGCTTCCAGGATTGGAGGGCGATGTAGGCGGACATGAGGCGAGGGTTTGGGATGTAGGCGACTTCTTGGGAAGATGAAGGTGTGACAATGTTGGAGAGGATTATGAGGAGGGATAGGAAGATGGGATTTGGATGTGGAGTGTTCTTCTTGCTCTTCTTCATGATTTCGATGGAATTGGGAGGGAATGGGGAGAAGTTTTTTTTTTTGGAAGGGAATGGGGTTGTGTAGGTATGGTAATAAATGTTTGTTGTGATATGACTTGATGTGTTGTGGAATTGTGGTTGTGTTAAGATTGAAAGTGTGTTCTTGCTATCTAGTTTGTTGTTTGAGGGAGGTTAGGGCTTCGGGGGGGTTTATATGTGTTAAAGGGTTAGTGGGGAAGATGATGGTACGGTACATGCAAGAATGTATGTATAGCTTTTCATGTCGTTGTCTAGTTAATTGTTGTTGTCTAGTTAGTTGTTGGATTGGGTGCAAGCGAGGCTGGTTTTGATAAAACTGGATCCAATTCAACTTAATGGTTAAAGCTGGCACTCGATCTGAATTCTGTCGATATTGGGTTTTATCTAATTTGATCATATCAGACTGGATTGTATGATTGCAGAAGTGGATTCAATTATCATCTTACGATGAGGTTAGGAGATTAGTTGTGAAAGAAGAAAGCAAACCCACAATGCAATTTAGGTTGGCAAATGTTTGGAAGGGGGAGTGGATGGTTTTGTACCTGTATTTGGGGCAAATCATAATTATATAGGGCAGTGGCCACATGATAGGGGAGCCCTAAGGATGAGAAATGAGTTGGGGTTATAAATTACACCCACATGGTTTACCCTCCACGACCATCAAAACATCAATAAATTCTTGGTGGTTGGAGGTATTGAATTAGCCTATAGGCATCTAGAGGAACATGATATATCATCATCGTGATGATTCACAAAGTTCCCAACACACACATGTGCATTTCTTGATAAATTGTTTGTCCAAAACAAATACTCGTATCTACAACCTTTTATTAGTTGTTCTTCCTATATAAAGATGGTTGCTTATTGCAATTTTGCATTAGGGACAAAAAAAAATTAGACACTTTGTAGTCACATACATCGTTGTTACCCGAAAAGATTGACCAATTGTGGTTCCTTTTTTTAGCCTCATTTGTTCCAAATGTGCTTTTAGTCTACAGATGATCAGTCATGTATGACGACTTTCTAAGACCGTTATTATCAATTATTCTTAGTGATAAAGGTAAGAGGGCAACTTTGTTGAACTCTTAAGATTAAAGGAAGAAGAACTAAGTAACCTATTGGGCTAGCTATAGTACATAATATTTATCAATAAGTTAGCCGATGCATGATAAAGCAAGAATTGATGGTGTAGCCTAATGCATGGTCGGGGGGACATAAATGTTGAGGTAATTAATAGAAGGCTCGTGGGGGTGGTGGTGGACACTATAGCTAGTTGGCTGGACCACGGCGGCCGGCCGGCCGGGGGCGTTTCTCGTTAAGGCAGTAAAGAAGAGGAGCCGAAGATGGCATGATTTTCTGGAGGTGGGGGAGCTACCGCTGGAGCCACAGGCACCATTAATGTAAACCTGCCACACACCATCTTACCATTTGTCCAAGTGCATATCACTTGTGTTCGTTGCGATAGGAAGAAGAAGAAGTGTTATAGAATAGAGATTATAGAACTAGCTATAGCTAGTAGATTCAGGATTCAGTATTATTGGTCTGAAGTTTGCAGCTCAGTGGGATATACAAAGTGCAGCAGAAAAAAACAGCTGCCTCATCATGTATGAACGATTATTAATTAAACTAGGGTGTCTATGAGTTTTCTAACTTTTTTTTTATATATATATATTAGGTGGCGATGCCGCGCCTTGTCGCGGGACGGAAATGGCCTACGGGCATGTATTATGTGACCCGTTAAGGTATTTTGTTAGTATTATTAGCACTTTTTTAGTAATATTGACTGAGAAGAGATATATGACTGTCAACATCCAATTTAAAAAATCTTGAAATTTTTGGCTAATAAATGATATTTACCTAAACTCTTGTAGACCCATTGATTATGGGTAGGTATGGGTGACGTATATTATGGGGTTGGAAGTTTGTAGATGGTTTTGGGTAGCGTATGGATATTTACTTTCATAATTTAAATGTGTATGAGTTGGGTATTGATATACATTTATTCGATGGTGTTTTAAACACATACAAAAATTAGACCTATTTGTAGAACTTCAAAAGTTTAGGTACTAAAATTATTACACAAAAATTTTAGATACTAAAATGTAATGTTCCGTCAATATTTTGAGGACTTATATGCCAACAAAATAATTTTAGGTTATAAATTTAAAGATTTGTTAAGTTTAGGTATCCATTTGTAATTTGCATAGTTGAGGCTTAACTCCTTTTATGGTGATGTATTTAAGATGATAATTATTTACGTTTTTATAAAAAAATAGGAAACTATTTATTTGATATGTATAATTGTTGAAAATTACATGTATAGTTGTTGAAAAGTCTAGCCCGATTGAAAAAAAAAACTCTAGAGAGAAGCAAAAGGAGTACAAACTGTAACTCGCTTAAAATTTCACGCCTTCAAATCCTATAATGGAAAATGACGAATTTCTAATAAGTAATAACCATATATATTTATTTTTAATTAGATTCGACATTGAGCTGAAAAAATTAGTGGTTCCTGGTTCAATTATTAATTCTCTAGATTGTTGGTCGGTCGTGTATGGACCCGTTCATATTTGTGATTAGAATACATAAAATAATATACTAATTAGGGTTAGACGAAGATAACAAAGAAAGAAATAAAGAAAAGGTTATGGAAGGCAAGTGAAAAATGAAACAAAGAGGAAGTAGATAATGAAAAGGTTTTGACCAATTCTTTTAGTTATTCGTTAATACAACAATCAACCTTTTTCATCGTAGCAATTTATTGACACTTGTTTATGTCGATGTCGCATATTCTATTACAGGTAGTTAGTAGACGTTTGTTTAGTACCCCGTAAATGTACTAAATGAATTTATAAATTTTCTCTTGCAATATTTTAGAGTCTTGTCGCTTTTATCATTTATTTAATGTTTCACGTAATGAGCAAATATAAAATGGTCGAATCTTCTCCTACAGTTTAGTGATACAACATATTGTATGATACAAACTAAATTTATACTTATATGTTATGGTGGATTGGATTCATTGATTGGTTCAAAAGGATTGGTGGATTGGATTCATGTATTAAGTGAAATCTAAATATTTGACCAATATGTAAATTTAAAAAATTGTAATTACGAAAATCTCATAAAATAGGTACCAAACAATAATTGTTCAATCGGTTTACATTAAAATTAAATTTGGGGTATCAAAATGTAAAATGTACATTATAGTGAATAATTTGTAATTTGTTAAACAATGACTAATTTGTAATTTGTTTGGCAACCGTACTACATGTTTATATATATATATATATATATATATATATATTTATTAATGTCAATCAAACACCCCCTGTGAACTTTTGAGAATGCATGGATGAAAGTGGCTCTCATATGGTGAAGTGTCATTGTTAGTGGACTTGTTAATTCAGCAAGCTTGCTAACATAATAAGATGCACGAACTCACTCAACAGGTTGAGCAGAAGTTTCTTTCTTCAAACTGTGCAAGCAATTGCTCTAAACTTACGAAGCGAGGAGAGAGTTTTGATCATTTACAGAGACTCAAGTTTTCTCTAAAAATCAATTTCGTTATGGTGTACAATACTATTTCTATGTGCACATACTCAAAGGTCTCTTATTGTCCACGTCACCCAAAAAAAAAAAAGAGTAGTGGGAAATTGTTGATTTGGAGAAGGATTAAATGAGTAGAGGAAGGGACTAACCTCAGGCAAGGCAAACCATCATCTTTCCCTTCCAAAAAAACACGATCCTCTCCTCTCTCGTCTCTTTCTTTCTTTCTCCATTCCCCCACCCACCCAAAGGGGAAAAAATGAAATATGAGGTCCTAAAATTCTAGATTTAGGGTTTTAATTTTTTTTTCCTTTTACATATCTTGTTTGTGTTTTGATCATAAATTGATTCTGGAAGTGGTTCATTTTTTTTATCCCTCTCCAGTCTCAACCTTTTGATCTTGCTCTTGTTCACCCTAATTAGTCTCTCATTTATTCATCTCCTTTCTAATCACTCGCTCGCTCCATCTCTCAACGATTTTTATAAAACTTTGGTTTGCATGAACGATATTGTCAATGTAAGATAGCCCTTTCCTCTTATTCATCATTAGCCTTTCAGCCACTTTTACTCTTCATTCCAGAAACTGGTTCATCAACAAAAAAGGAGGGTTGACCTAAGTACAGGCACAAGGATCCTTTTGAGTGTTACGAAATATGTGTATTTCTTTGGCTTGAATATTAGTTGAGTAAAAACTCAATATTAGTTCATATGGTACTAATATTAGTTTTCCTGGTATCAAATACAAGTGACAACATGTTTTATGTAATGAATCCAAGTTGAACATGTGATTAGTGTATATGACCTTTCTGAATATAACAACTACTAGTTTATGAACAATGAACACTAGTTCAAACATACAAAAACTATTTTTTGATTGAGGAATACTAGTTCGTACATACAAAATATACTAGTTCGAATTAGAAACTAGTTCATGAGTACTAGTTGTTTGCATAGTGAATACTTGCTCTAACCTATTGAATAATAGGCCGGGCGAGGAGATATTAATATTAATTCACTTTTAATTACAGATCTTCTTCCTCCCACTCACTTCAGTAAAAAACAATGACAACTAGCGCAAGCAAGTGAGAGAGGGGGAGAGTATCTAGACTGATCTTGGAGCTGAATTTGGAGGTTTGGATTGAGATTGGAGCAAGGAGATGAAATATTGAAGATCTCAAGCTTTCTATTGTACTCTCTCTCTCTCCTTTCTATGAATTAGCTCTCCTTTACTTAGTTTGATGAACGCTAGATCTAGATTTTGGTATGATAGTTGATGTATGTGACAAACCCTGTGATTGTAAAATCATATTATCTATTTAATTGATGTTTATGATGAATTGCACGAGTCTTGATCCCACTACATGTCAATTGTGCTTTTAATTTAGGAGGAGAATATATCCCTAGGTTAAATAGAGCATTTTCAATCCTTAATTATGGATCTTTGAACGAGTGTGATTTTATCCATTCTATCGTATTGGGTTTTACCCATTCGTGGGAGTAACTTGTGAACACCAGAATTGTCTGATCGGTTGTTTGGTACGCCTTTGATAACTCTAATAGGGAGTCCAATCTAGTCTAGAATTCTCCGCGGTAAAAGTATCGAGTCGATAAATCTAGGGTAGTATTCAGCATCGGTCCAATCGAGGAGCTAGGGCGAATCATGCCTAAGTGAGCTCCCACCTTGTAATTAGTAACAATAGTGGTTAGATTAGTGTAGTTAGTTTATTCTTAATCACTGTTATTGTTTGGTTAGATAACATACCAAAGTTGAAGTAACGATACATCTAGAGACCTTAGAGTTCGATAGTTTTATTACTTGCTTCCACTATACTACAATCAGTTGATGTTAATACTTGGCTTTCGATTGAGAGTGTAGTTAGGTACAAGTCAATCAAGGATATCTTATTTAGAGAATTAGTGTCTAAATTTTAATCATCAGAACTTACAATAAAATTCGTGCCTCAAATTACCGTTAATTCAAGATTCTACTAAGAATACACGATACCCTTATATATATATATATTTTTTTTTAAGTATACCAGTAGTTAATATATTATGTACGTGGAGTCTGCCTTGCCTGAAAATCTTCCAAGGGCCAAGGCTATATATCAATCCTGAAAAACTTGGCTCCATTTTTGGTGAAACGCCGGGGTCCTTCATCCCATCTTTCCAATACCTTTTGTCTAAAAGGAGATCGCGAGGGAAAGGAAAAGACGAAATCAAAAGGGTTCATAAACAAACACAGAGATAAGATTTGGTTCCTTGGAGGTAGTGGGAGACTTTTGCAAGAGAGGGGATTCATTGAAGATACGTGGGTCATGATCCAGGAGGAGATGAGAAGACTCTTCACTACTTTCACTGGGCTGAATGAATATATATTTATTGGTGATCAAATTTATAGCAATTTTTTTTTACTCCTCCATTCAATTCCATTATATTTATGACCTGCAACTGCAATTGCATTGCATACACTCCTGTCAATAATCCAGTACTAATGTAGGTATACAGAGCCCTCTGGAGAAGGGACCATTATTCCGCCATTTCCATGTAATGGCAGTTCATGAGCTCACAACTCCTACTAGTGATGAGAGTGAGAGGAGAGAGCCTTGGCGAAGAGGAACCAAATTGGCTTGTACCATCTTGTACTGATAAAAGTTAGAGTATTTAATTTAGGCACGTTTGCTATAATTTGATCACAGGGCGAAAACATATACTAAAACACATGTTTAGTTTTGTTTTCATTATGTTGTTATGGTAACGGGAGTTGACAATGCAACATGAATTAGCTGAAATCTGTGAAATCACTTTTACATACCGTTTGGTATAAATGAATTTCATAAGTTTTGAGAAATTCATTTCGTTGATGCTTGTCTTAAAGTTGTTTCTTGGTGGATCCTATCATTTGTTGGAATAGTTTCATTCAAGCGAGTATGATCATACATAATTTTCTCTATCCATTTTCGTATAACACATTTTTTAAACCTTATTGTTATTTTATATATCTTTCTCTCTTAAATTCCACATAAGTCATCGCGCTACAATATTCTATCTCATTGTTTTTCTACTTTTGTCTTAGTCTCAACATAAATACTATAAGAAATCTAAAAAAATAACTAAACGTATTCTATTAACTTTCATCATTTCTCAAAATTATCAACTAAGTATAGGTTTTCATGTTGTAATTGTACATTTATTTGCACAACTACTCTATAGCAACCACAACAGTAACAAAACTATAAAATAATAATACGATTGTGTTACATTGGCTTAGGTCAAGTGGCAAAAGTATTCTTCCGTCACTATAAATAAAGATAGATGTTCGATTGAGTCCGGCTTTTTCGAGGTGCGACTGAAAGGTGACACCGAGGTGGTTATTGATAAAATCAATCAAGGGATTACAAGAGATAGTCAGATGGGTGCGCTGCTTGTAGAAGTTGTGGATCGTTTAGCGCTTAATAGTGAGCTTAATCTACGGTTTGTAGGTCGGAGTAATAACAGGATAGCTCACTTGGTGGCTAGGAAGATCCTTCATTTGCATCCGACTACGAGTCGTTTCTTTAATTTTGTGGTCTGGTTGCGCTCTATGATATAATTATCCATTTTATTGATCAATATATATAATTATATTTTGAAAAAAAAAGTTAGATAATATAAGACAAGTAAAAATACTTTGATCTGGCCTGCCTGCGTTGCATTTGGCATTTGCAAGTGCCAATTATTAAAAGGCGGCGGCCAACTGCCAAGGAAACAAGTGGGGATTTTATATGTGCCGGTCGAGAAGACATTTGGATATTATAAATCCATCGGTTATTGAACGAATTGGATTATTCATTGGTTCTCATTGGAGTGCATCAGATCAAATCGACAATTTGATATTGAAATGAATATAATGTGGTTCGATTCTTATCCAATAAATATATGAATAATTAAAAAAAAATTGACCGAATTAACATTTAAGCCGAATCAAACCGAATAACATGTGTTATTCATTTTATCCTGATCTTAATATGCCTTTCACTATAAGACGGACCTTCTCATGAAATATGCAATCTGGACCATTCGCACATCTTGTCCAAAGCTTAAACAAACATGCCAACGGTGCATAAATATTTAATTTCTCTCTTTACCCCTTATAATATGGTCTTTAGATTAATGCTATTTTTTCTTCTCAAATTAATATATATGATCCAGTTATGAAATTATGCATATATAACAATGAGGAATTTACGATGCTCATAAGTACCTGTATTTTCATGTAAATTTGTACTATAATGTCGAAGGTACAAGTTCCGTTTGTACTATAAAAGAATTTATACGAAAATATAAATGCACAAATTGAATTTGTATCCTAAAGTTAAGGTGCATGTTTAGTTAATACCATAAATAAATATATACTCAAATGTATAGATACAAATTGAATTCGTATTGTAGCATTAAACGTGTAAATTCAATTTGTATCGTAAAATTTGTTTTATAAAACACCTGTACTTATGAGCCAAATAGTACATGAGTTATGCATATGAATCAAGCCTTTATAATTTATTCAAGTCAATATAGGAAGTACCAAAATTATAATAATTTTTACCTACGCACCAAAGATGTACATAATAAAACCCAGACAATGAAACTCAAATCTTCCATGTTAATTAAATTCTAAAAAATAAGTAAAAAATCAAAATTTGACATTCTACACACTCTCTTGTTTGTCATAACGTGAAACTTGAAAAAGACCCTCGCCGAAGTCAAGGCCAAGGGTACTCGTAGTGATGCGATGGTGGAGGCGGCGACGGCGGTGGAGGCGGAGGTGGCGATGGCGGCGGTGGAGGTGGTGGCGATGGTGGAGGCGGCGATGGCGGCGGTGGAGGTGGTGGCGATGGTGGAGGCGGTGATGGTGGAGGCGGCGATGGCGGCGGTGGAGGAGGCGGTGATGGTGGAGGCGGTGATGGAGGTGGTGGCGATGGCGGAGGTGGAGGTGGCGGCGGCGGTGGAGGCGGCGGGGGGCTGCGAGGCACGCATCCGAAAGAGCTACAAACAACAGGATAAGCATTAACCGCCTTACATTCCCCAGCCGATCTCTGCAACGGCCGATTTGGTATACAATTCTGCCGGTCATCTCTCGCCGGCAACCTGAGACAAACCGGCGACTCCTTGTCGAAGAAATTGTACGAGTACGTAAAGTTCATCAAACGCGGCAGCGCGCAAATACCGGCCGGTATTTCCCCCGACAGCCTGTTGTGGGCCACATCCAGCTGTTCCAACTTCTTCATCCTAGTCATCGACTCCGGAAGCGGGCCCACCAGCTCATTAAAGCTGACGTCAAAAACTTTAACCTGGCCCAACTCCCCCAAATTGGGCTGCAGACACCCCTTCAGGCCCATATTCAACAAAACAATCTGAGTCAGCGTGGACCCCATCTTGGTCAAACTCGCGGGTATACACGACCCGCCGAAGTTGTTGTTCGCCATGACAATCACCGACGCCGGCGAGTTCCCGAAGTTGGCGGGGAGCGACGACGCGAACCTGTTGTCGTTGATGAACATCGCGTCGAGAGGCACGTCGAAGAGCTTCGACGGAACGTTTCCATAGAACCGGTTGAAACGAATGTCGAGGAACTTGAGAGAAGGGAGGTCGAGGACGACGGAGGGGAACTCGCCGGCGAAGAGGTTGTTGCTGACGTCGAGCTCGAAGAGGAGCTTGAGGTATCGGAAGGTGTAGGGTAGGGTTCCGGCGAAGCGGTTGGAGTTGACGTGGAAGAGGGCGAGGTCGGTTAAGAGGCCGAGGTGGTCGGGGAGGTAGCCGGAGATGTCGGCGTGGTTGAGGTCGATGCCGGCGACGGTTAGGGTTTTGGGGTCGTCGAGGGCCGGGGAGCAGTAGACGCCCGTGTAGTTGCAAACATTTGGGCCGTACCAGTTGGAGGTGAAGTTTTTGGGGTCGGAGGTGATGGCTTTTTTCCACGCGGTGAGGGCTATGTAGGCGTTGAGGAGTCTAGGGTTTGGTGGGGCCGGGTATGGGACCGGCGGTCGCGGCGGCGGGAAGGGAGGGAACGGCGGTTGAGCTAGGGCTGGAGTGGTGGTGATGGTGATGAAGAGGGAGGCCCAAAGGGCTCCTATGAGGAGGAGGAGGAGTGAAGGGTTTTTGGGTATCATATTGTTGCTTGCTTTCTTCAATATGGTTTTACTTAGAAGGGGAAATGGTGGAGTTTATTTATACCAGCAATAATGCGTTGAAGACTAGGGTTTTGATGTTAATTAGTTGCTTTAAAAAATTGGGGAAAGACTGACTGACCGCATCTATACATTTCATGCGCGGTAGCTTTGATTTTTTGAAGTAGAAATAATAGAGAAGGTTCATAGTTCATAGTCATACATATATTTGTGGGGTTTTACTGTAGTTTGACCAGGTGTTGGGTATCGGTTCGGTTCGATTAAACTTTAAACCGAACAATAAATTTGCAAGCTAAAAAGCGGCTGAAACAATTTCTTTCGTAAAGGCGTACTTAACGATTAATCGATTTAATGATTTTGGTTCATTGAAAACTATTAAAACCTCTTAATGACTTGATTTGGTTCCAAGGAATCGAAAATGGAAAAGTTATGTAATCAGTGTTTAATTTGTGTATCAGGCCGGTCGTGACGTGGTTTTCGGAAAAAAAATTCCGATCGTAACCAAAGTTGAAACAGGTAAATGCAAAGTGGTTTGAGTCCAATAATTAAAACATCGATAAACGTACTTTATTGATTCGGTTTAAAGCGGAAAAAAAAACCAAAACCGAATTGGCAACCCTAAGCTTGATCAAGAAGGCAACTGTTCACCAAGTTGCAAGCAGCATACGACATAGGGTTTCTGAATATATTAACCAAGACAATGCACTGGCATGCAACGCCCGGGAGCTTGAAAGGAAATCTTTTGTTTGGTAAGGGGTTGTTTGGAGGGAAATCGGCACCTGTTTTGCCTCACCGAAAACGCGGTTGCTTTGTCATTATTATTAAGCCAAGTCTATGCTTAATAAACTATTAGCCAAGTCTAAACTAGAAATGATACATTTTTTCAGGCTGCTCGAATATTAATTATATGGTGCTAATTAAGATCCTATAAAAAAATATATTATATAGTGCTAAGCGGCTGTTGAAGAGGGGACAATATAAAGAGTAGAAAATAAGTTGGCCGATTGAGCACATAACCAAACCATAATTATTATTTAAGGTAGCCAGTAGCCCTATAGGCGCAGGTGCAAGTATAAAAAAAATACATACATTATATATATGTATATACTTGCTAAATTGCTATAATGGTGCTTTTCACACGTAATTAGGGAAGGTGATCATCATTAGTTGATGATGAAATATATGTATTTAATGAAGTTACATTCAACTTATCCCATGAAAGTCTACTGGAGTTGGAATTATGTTCAGTGACTAGGTCTTCTCATAGGAGTTGGCAGGTAATCGTTGTCAAGTGTGCACAAAAAATACAAGTATCTCCATAAATTAGTGTGGATATGGTTGGTTAAGGTGATCAATTTTGCGCGACAACAATAAGGGTAATGTACTTTGGATTTATGATAGCGTCGCGATTATTTCACACTTGAACGCGAACCGCGCTTTAATCACTACGATGGTATAAGGTAGATCCAATCTATATTTCTTGAGAACGCTAAATATAAGTACTACACTACATGAAATTAAACAAAACACAACTTCTCATGCCAAGTTTAGTTATGTGAAGAAGTTGTTCTCCAATTCGAATCATAAACAATCTTCCAACTATTTTTCTCACATTGGGTGATCTCTCGTTTTCACATATGACTGCAACATGATTATTTTCCTATTTGTTTACCTTATTTTTAATTCTCAACTTGCGAAATGGAAATACTTTTATAAAGATTTTGTTAAAGGTCAAACTTTCTGAAGTTGGATTAGGTTAGTAGAGAAAAGTATGATAACACTTAACAATGGGGAACACCTTTTGTTGAAAACAAGTAAAAGTAACAATTAATAAATATAATCACTAATATTACTATTATTAATTTAATCACTATATAGTATATACACTAAACAACATATCCCCATAGCATGATCCGCTGAAAAAGAAATGATTGGATATTCTATAAGAATGAAGTTTTTTCAATTCAAACGACATACTGAAAAATAAAATAAAAATGAAATAATGCTTTATATAGAGAAATCATTTTTGTTGGAAATTTGGTTAAATCATACTAATAAGGTCAAACCAGTGGTTAGACCGGCCAAATCAAATTATAATTCTTGGAAGGCACATGTTCCCTTTACTTACAAGCGGTTGCATTGTCATGGACAAGCACAATCTTTCATGAAACCAGGCGTTGTTATTGATGAAAACAATTTTTACTGAAGTCATGAGTTGCAATCTATATCTATCTATCTATACTTAATATTATGGCTATTCAAAAGTAACATTTTGCCACATAAGTACTTGGTGAATTCACAAGATGCCAAGGTGGACAATTTTTTAACAAACAAAAATTTATTTATTGATCTATTCATGGAGCTATCTCTCTCTTCTTTTAATACTTCTACTCATTTTTACTAAAACTTAAAATAAGGTACATTTTTTGTGACACATTTAAACAAACAAACACACATAACATAAGTAATAATCTTTTCTTCAATTAAACGCACTATAAAAATGAAAATAGAGAGTGACAGTTTAACCCAAAATATCTTATTAAATCTCATTAAGTAAATTTTTTATTCATTTTCACTAAAAATTTATAATAAGTTACATTTTGATGGAAAAAAACAAGCACACATATGAATAATAATAATTTTTCAATTAAACAAAATTTAAACGATGGCCTAGGAGAAAATGAGCGTTTGACAATCAATCGTTTTTGAAAGATGAACTACATGACTATATATTTTTTGTTATCAAACACTCACTTCTTGCTAATGAATATACTTATAAAATAAAACAAGTATAATTTATATAGAAAAAGGTCTGAAGATAAATTGGACATAGCAATAATTGTTATTTTTTTAAAACACTTCTTATTCATTCCGTTTAAATCAAAAACATATTAATTATGAATACAACCTTTTAATTTATCTCTACCTTTTTTCCATTTTGATTGTCTCTCTAGAAATAAAATCCAACATTGAAAATAAGAAATTAGATAGAGAAGGAAATGGTAAAGCATATGAAGTTTTTTTTTTCTTTGTAGGAGAATAGGAGGAGGGAGGTACACGAGGAAACGATTAGATGGAAATTTTTTGAGCAGTTGTAACATATTTTTGCATGTTGATAAAAGCACTTCATCTTATCATTACGAAGACGAGGTGAACCAGTGGCGTAGTTAGGATTTCATCTAAGGTGGGTCCACTTAGAAGAAAAATACACCTGGTAAAATAATTTTTGTTAACTTTGTGAATCATTCATGACATAATCTTATATTGGAAAATTTTGGTTAAGTAAAATAGATTAGCAGTCGAAAGTATCTAGAATATTACTTTATATACCAAACAATTATTAATGATTTAGTTAGTCGTTCTGTTTCGTATGATGTTCTTTATAAAAAACCATTAGTATCTATAACTCCAGTTGTCAAGAGATATTTAATAATAAATCTTACACCAAAAAATAATTCATGATTTGGTTAGTCATTCACTTACAAATGATGTTATTTGTCAAGAGTCTTTTTGAATCAAAATTGAGTTGTTGAAAGAGGTTCATTAATATATCTTATACTATTTACTAGCACGCTCTCTCATATAAGAAAGTCAACTTATAGAAAAATGAAGTTTGCCCAAATCTGTATATCGTGTACTTAATAAATGAGGTCGCCAAAATTTCGAACAAAAAATCTTTCGATCAACTATTCTCAATTAAATACCCCTAATTTTCTATATAAATTAACTATTGTACCTAATTGAACAATTTTCCTTCCGAGTCAGGGTGGGTCCCGGGACCTACCCTGTTATACTCTCCCTCCGCCACTGAGGTGAACCAAACCGAGGATTGTCGACTGCTCCCTCTTTCTCCTTGATCCGAAGCTCGCAACTGCTCACTCTTTTTTCCATTATTTTCTTAATTTCTTCCAAGTTAAAACTGCTGGATGGTAAATATCCCTACTTGATGAGCGAATATATTTATTCTTCGTTTTCACGGAGTTATTTTATGTTCTCTATTACGTCATATACTTTTATGTAAATAGGTAATATATGATTAGAAAGGATAATTGGTTGGACTTAGAGCATATGTCCTTTGGTTGAATAATTGATTTTTACTTAAATGTCTATTGCAGCCCGATACTTTAGATGTTGAAATGGAAAGTGGAGTTGTGAGGGTTTTTCATTATGTTCCTTATTTTCATGATTGACACGCTACTAGCTAGCTATAAGATGATGATCTGGTTAATAATTAGTAGGTAGCAATGGGATTATAAGTAGAAGAGAACATAATTGGGGGTTTTATAAAGGTCGTTAAGAAGAAAGAAAATGACTGTGGCGGTTCCTCGGTTGTGTATTTTGATGTTTTTTCAATTTCTACACGTTTGCAATGACATTTGTTTGTTTCATTAGGGTGAATTTCTCCTCATTAAATCTTTAACTAAAGCTTGATTTTGACATGATTATTTTCTTACCAACTACTATTTTGATTGGTGCATAGATTCAGTTCACAAATTAGGAATCTGCAATATAGAATGAGTTGCTAATGATGGGCGGCTAATAATATACTATATATTTGTGTTAATACGAGATTTTTTATTGATAATAAAAAACATAATATATAATATATTAAAATAAATTTACTTAAAATATAAATAATTAGTGTGTTTTACAATTTTTTCGACATATAAATTCATTCAAATAAATTATTTCAGATTATCAATTTCGAGCACTATGTAGAACTCTTTAAAGGATAACCAATGTACGCATGCATAAGATGTGTCACATATATTTAATGTGTTCGTTGCTAATGATGGGCGGCATTAGAGAAAAACAACAAACGCAACCAAGGAAGAAACAAAAATGTAAAGACAACAAGTGAACAAATATTGGGATAAGTTCTAGAATATCTCAAGTCTATACACCAAACCCATCGGACAAATTCAACAACCATACATATATCAATTTATTTAAGGCCAGTGTCCATAGCAAAGAATTCGAACATTATCAATTTAAGATATTCTGATCTTATCATTTAAGATACCACTACTAACTAAGGATTTGTAGGGTTCGTGTTACATCACCATATTTCTAAGAACAACTCTCTTTGCCCTAACAATGTTTACTAAACTCTCTTTAATTAACATTTCTAACTTGACCATAAGTGAGTTTTGGAGACAATCCCAATTCACTATCAGAGATGGGGCGAAGACATGCAAACTTGATAAGGGTTACGACTAGTGACGGCAACTTTGCCCATACCCATGGGTTTCTTACTATCCAACCCAATTGAGTTGGGTATGAAATCCAAATAGCTGGATATGGATAGAGTTTGATGAGTTTGTACCCATACCCATTTACTTTGGGTTGAGTTGGGTTTATATCAAATGGATTTGGGTTTGTACCCATGCCCAAATACAAATTACAGTTTGGTACCCAAACTTAATAGATATACATATTTAGTACCTAAAATTAATTTTTTTTGCATATAAGTCCTCAAAATATCGATGTAAAATTATGTTTTGGTCCCTAAATTTTTTTGGTTTTACATTGTGGTACCTAATATTTTCAAGTTTTACAAATAGGTCCAATTTTTGCATGTGTAGTTAAAACACCCTAAAGTAAATGGATATTCATATCCAACCCATACCCATTTAGATTATGGAAGCAATATTCATACCTTACCCAAACTCATCTATAAAACCCCAAATCCATATGCACTTCACCCATACCCAACCCATTATCAATAGATCTACTTGGGTTTGGGTATAATTACCCATGGGTAGGTAATTTGCCATCCCTAGTTACGACAAGAATCGTTTCGCCCTTGTGGGGGGTAAACGATTTAGTTCTTTTGGAATTTAGCTTTTGTCTCCTAATTAATGCTGGATTAGGTGGAGATTATTTAATGTGGGATAATTTTGGAAGTTTGTTGGAACAGAGTACGCCCAGCTTAAATTGAGGTTCCGCGCGCAGGCCGTCAACCGACCGCGGGACTTGGTCAATTCACTACTAAAATCCATACAAAAACATAAGTGAATGGGCTCGTTTGTAATCTGCAAAGATACGTAATTATCCATAAGTTCTCGTGGAACGCTGAACTAAACCGGATCATTAATTGGAGGATTAGAATTGTCAAATCAATTATAATAGGGATTCGGTCCATAGGGATCGGTTAGCTTGACTACCCCTAAAGGGGTAGTGATTTTTGACACCCCCTTTATGATTGGCCAATTTTATTTTCAATTATTGGCAAGTATTAATTAAACTGGTTTTTTATTTTTTTTTAATCTTGTAATTTGGGGTCTCTCACCACATTGGAAAAGAGAAAGAATCTGGGGAAAAACGAAATCACCCCCATTAATTACATAATTAATTTCTCTCACTGGTACATTAATTACACGTACCACTCCACTGGTACACGTACCACTCCACTGGTGCGAGCAATCCACAAGGTAGGTTAGAGTGAGAACAATACCAGTGCAATGATATTTTTCATAACAATGATAAACAATAACGGAGCAACAATGCAGTACCACTTCAATGATACAAATACCACTCCACTGGTACACGTACCACTCCACTGGTACACGTACCACTCCACTGGTACACATACCACTCCACTGGTACACGTACCACTCCACTGGTGCGAGCAATCCACAAGGTAGGTCAGAGGCGATCCCAGGATGGCGGCAGCTGGAGATAGGAGGATGGTGGTGGGGGAAGGCGCTGGAGGGTTTTGGTCGTTTCAGAGTAGAGGAGGGTTCTGGTTAAAATGAAATCAAAATGGAAAGAGGGCCCAAATGGAGAGAGAAGGAGACGAAAGGAAGAAAAAAAGGCAATTAATTGCACATTTGGGGGGGAGCTTTTTTCTGATTCCCCATATTCTTTCCCTTTCCAATGTGGGTGAGAGACTCCAAATTACAAGATTAAAAAAAATAAAAAACCAGTTTTATTAATACTTGCCAATGATTGAAAATAAAATTGGCCAATCATAAAGGGGGTGTTGAAAATCACTACCCCTTTAGGGGTTAGCATAGTATCTCACCCCGGTCCATTAGAGTCACTACTTTAGCGAGAGCTTCTGCAAAAAAACGCATACACAAGTACTCATTGTCATAAAACCAGCTGGTTCTACTAATGCGAGCTGTAGACGAGGTTAATGTATAAATCTTAACCACTTCCTGTCTTCCTCACAAACTTATTCAAATAGTAACCAACTCATGGGCTTGAAATTTGCATAGGTCCATCGAGAACTTGAACACGTGACCTGAATGACAAACAAGCTCTGATATCATGTCATAAACCAACTGGTTCCGATAACTCGAGTTGCTAGGAGATGTCCATGTATGGATCTTAACAACTTCATTACACTCATGAAAAGTAGGGTAAGGGAAAAAGAAATTAGAGAGTGTTAGTATGTGATATACGATCTATTATTGAACCTCTCTCAACAACTCGAGTTATTAAGAGCAAATGAGATTTGATATGGTATCAGAGTCTTCTACGACAGAGAGGTATTTTGTTCGATTCTCGACGACCTCATTTTTGAATTGTCCAAACTTCAAGCGGACGTGTTAACATGTTGTATAAGATACATTATTAAACCTCTCACATCAACTCGAGTTATTAGCAACACCGGATTCTTGACAGTTGACACAGACCAAGAAAATAAAAATGACAAAATTTGAAGACCCTTATATACAGAGGATTACAACATCACCCAAAATTTTCCCTAGGACCCTTCTCTCTAGCTTACTCAACCCAACATCTATAAGAGGCATGCTATTTGCGCCAACTAAATTGCTATTTGCCGACAACAACAACAAAAATTAAAAATTGATAATATATACGTGTTCGGTAGAAGAGTTTCACTACCTACAACATATCTAACTCTCAAAAAATGTATTGAATCAGAAAAATTGACGCTCGCAGGAACATATATATATATATTGTAATCCTGAACTATGTCGTAGCTAAGTTAATATGATTGTTGAGTGCTTCGGCCGTGGACTAGTCTTGATCACACTGATCAAGGAAACAAGGTAAATACCTGTGTGATTTCTGTTTCTGTTCCGATCATTCATCGTTCCGATCACATTCAGCTACGATAAGCTAACACTATGCACTCGTGTACTCTTTGTTCCAGCAGCTTCCAAACGAACCCTTAATGTGGTGAGTAGAGATTATTAATGTGTACGGGGTTAGTGTATACGAAGAAATGAGAGTATGTGTTTTGGTGAATATGGTGGTTGAATTTGTTGATGGTTGTGAGATTTTGTATGTATCTAGACTCATAAGTTTGGCTACACAATGAAAGAGTTATCAATTCGTCAAGACGAATCGATACGTTATGCAATTAGTGTAGAGTTTTACAATTTGATTTGTTGACTAAATATTCATTTAATCTCAAAATGAAAATCGAACGGTTCTGATTTGTCGGAATTATCTAAATACAAATAAGAAGTGTGAACGCAGACGTATAACAAACGCCTGATATACGCTATCCTTTGTCATATATATATATATAACACCCATAGAAAAATTACGTTATATAACAATATATAACAATCTAAAGTATAACATATATATTTGCCATAGATGCTCCTAATGATTAGCTTTTAATATACTCTAAAACATATTATATTTACATACAGTTTAAAATCGAATGATTTTGTGAGAATAGTTTTCATGATTTTTATGCTTAAAGTGGACATGCACTCCTTAAAAACTGTTGAAATTGGGTTGCCTTTGGGGTTATACTACATATGACATAAGTTGAATTTGAGCATGAGGAGAAGGCGGGCAATATTGATACATAATGTCATATTCATGTTGACTGAAGTAACCATGAATTTTCATTGTGTTTGAGAATGTAAACGTGCAGATTAGGGTGCCAATATATTTAAATATTATCTGCAATACATTTACGTTCATGTATCTATTCAAATGTTAAAAAGAGTCAAGCTTCATTATGATGGTGTTACTGTTACGTGCATTGGTAGGTACTTGGCTGCCCAGAGCGCGCGAGGCGGATCACTACATGAGAGAACTCAAACGAGAAGAGGAAGAAATTATTGATGTCCCTGATTTAGGTTTCCTTTTTTTTTTTAATTTTAATCGTAGCAGTTATTTGCCACTAGTAGTATCCTAGTCGTTGGCCAAGAGACGACCAACTGTGCATGTATAACTTTCTGACTTTCGTCAAATTGGGAAGGTTCACTCTTTATATAAATCGGCTGCCGACATTTTCATAATTCCCTCATAAAAACTACGTCAAAAGAAAGAAAGAGTCAACCTTCAGAGAAAAAAAAAGTTAAAAATAAAAAATTCAAAGATGTCGTCAGACGGTACGAGTAGCGGTACCACTCGACACGACCTCATCACCGTGATCGTGGGGGGTCGTCCTCGGGGCGATTGCCCTAATCTATGGTGTGTACCTCGCAGTCCGGTGGCTGAGGAAGACCTGCTTCTCGGGAATATTGAGGTGTAGAGAGAACATGAATTGGAGGCCATTTCGTTTATACTTAATAATAATAAAAAAAACAATAATTCTAAATTTTCGGAATTATCATAATACAAATTATAGGTGTAAACGCCGAATACCAAACAATTGACATACGCTACCTTTTTCCAAATATAGTATACTTCAGGAGTATACCAATATGACCTATATATATATGTATATATAATACTCGTAAGAAAATTACATTATATAACAATCTAAAGTATAACATATGTTATATAATGTGTATAACATATGTTATATAATGTGTATAACATATATATGCCATAGATGCTCCTACTCCTAATGGTTAGTTTTTAATATATGGTAAACATATTATATTTACATACAGTTTAAAATGGAATGATGTGCAAATAGTCTTCATGATTTTTATGCTTAAAGTGGACATGCACTCAGGGGCTTTTTGTTATGGATGAGATAACCCAATTTGTTTTTCATCAATTGAAGCCGAAGCAAAATCACTAACAAAATGTCTTAAATGGACTGAGGAATACAATGTTTCATGTGTGGTTCATTGTGACTTCAAAGTGCTTTCAAAGCTCTTTCCTCTCGTCCCTTTTCATTGTCGTGGAGATGCTCATCAAGACTTGCATCTATGTGTGGACTTTTTCGATCTACTAACCTCGTCAAAGTAGAAGCAATCTTGCAATTGGGTTGCTGATTCTCAAACAGAATCGTCTCTTCCACATACTATTCTCGGCCTTATGGTAGCCTTACCCTTGCTCGCCTAATTGTAACTTGCTTGTATTTGGTCATGGAATGAACAATTCTTTTTGTTGTTGTTGAAAGATTGACACAAATGCGTCTAATTCATATTAATCGAACGTTCATGGGAAAATCCCATTACATCATGGCGTAGCCATTGTAATAAACCCGAATCACAAACATTGAGATTGTGTGTACCAAAATGAAGATCATGGTCGAGATTCGCCAAGTAATCGGCTGCAAAATTAGCCTCTATGTACACGTGTGCTACAGTAACCTCCCAATCGAGGTTAAGAAGGTATCTAATATATATGTAGAGCAATGCTTCCATGTCGCCGGTCTTCATTTTCACTGTTTCTGATGATTTCAATTGTTGTGGTAGAGTCCATCTTGAGGTTCACTTTCCAATAGCCCTTTTCCCCAGAAATCTTAAGTCCTTCTGCTGCACCTTTAAGCTCAGCAGCTGTGATGGAGCATCGGCCAAGATTACATGCTTTAGCCCTGCAATGCCCAAGGTGATCTCTTAGAAGTCCCCCAACAGATGCGTCCACTGGGTGTGCCAAAACAGATCCATCAGATTGTAGCTTAATCCATCCCTCTCTAGGAGGTTCCCAACCAATGTGATTGTTGATGCAAACCACACTCTTTACATTTGACTTTTCTGTACGTCTTGCTTCGCTTGGAAAAAATCTTGAACCAGGCTTGAATCCTTGCCACGAGCCCTCGTTAGTGTAGGTTTTACCGTCGAGAGTCTCCTCATTTCTTTGTTTCCAAAGGTTTCAACAAACGTTTCCAAAATCAACACTTGTGTTATCATTCTGAAGATTAGCAAGCAGCCAGTCTTGAAATGGCAGGTTTGAATATTTCTTTGCCAGCTTGTTGTGCAGTCTCTCCCAAATGCTGTTGGGTATTGTTTGCTTGTGGGATTGGATGATAGATTTGGCACCCAAATCTCAAGTATCATGGAACTGGTAAAATTCATTGTTTGGTGAAGGACACAAATCCGTGGGCTCACATATTTGGACCCTTTTTGAGATTCAAATTTGTGGATCCCACATATTTGCAAATCCCACATTTCATTTGAGATTTGATAATGGAAGGCAAAAATGTGAGATAAATCCATCATAAATCCATGATAAAAAAATCAACTAGACTAACAAAGTACTCTTTCAAATCCATAATGTAATAAATCTATCATGTATCTAAAAGTTTTTAAAACTCAAAACCCCACTACAACAATAACTGGATTCGGAGAGAAATAATTAGAAACCGTTATTGTATCAGTCTCTATATCTAATCTATTGTCGCAAATATATCATTTGCTTCAATACGTTATATTATTTGTCTCTGTAGATTAATATTCATTTAATATATATATATAAGATAAATTGATAGGTTTAGAGACGATTATCCTATTTGCTTCCATATCATATATTACCAAAAAAGCATATATGAAGGCATATGTAATTGTCTCTAAATGTGTTATAAGAAAATGAACCGAGTAAGTTGTATAATTAGGAACATATCAATGTAGTTAAAATCGCGCTTTAAAACTTATAAACTTACAATTTTACGTTTCTAGGTCACTAAAACGCATCTACACAAAATCTCAGATTTTATAACTTATGTAGTTAAAACTTCGCTTTAGAAACTCGCTTTTGACTACATTGGAACATATACAATTGCTACTTAAAGTGATTATACATAAAGTTAATTAAAAATTAAAAAATATAATTCAGAAAATTGAAAGCGGCAAAAAGGAAGAGAGCTTTTTCCTCTCTCATATTTTGGCGGGTGGGACTTAAATTTTGGTTTGGTTCCAAATTCTAAAACATGAAGGAGCGAGAGGTAAAAAGTTTTGAATGGCAAATTATTAATTAAAACTAATTACAAAGTCCCAAACTCGTCTGACTGTTTGCCTTCCTTGTGTGACCGTGAAGCCTCGATCAAATCCGAAACTCTAGCCTCTCACTCATATCACCCATCCTTCTTTGCAGCAGAACTCATACAATAGGAAGTACGGTGTGATCCTTCCTCGATCCTTCTTGGTAATTCTATTTGCTTTTGTTAGTGATTTTGATTTCTTGTTTCAGAGTTGCTCTTGCAACAGCCTGCAGTTTTTGTGTTCCTTCTTTTAATGTTTTGGCTACATGTCTTACGAATGGTTTTTTGTGTTTTCCTTTACGGTTTTGCAGCTTCTTCTTTATTGGGTGCATGTCTTTCGTTTATTGTTTTGCTCCTGGGTTTCTTTCTGTTTTCTTTTAGGGTTTTGCATCTTGTTTTTTTCATTTTCTGTTCACTTGTTATGAGTAGTGAAGTCAAGTCTCGGCCGAAATCCAAGTCAACGCCAGGGGCACCTCCAGCCTCTGATAAGAATATATCCACTATTGTGACTACAAGACAAGATGTTCCGATCCTGAGAAAAACACACGAGATCCAACAACGTGCATGCCAATTCAGGCTATGCAAGCAGGGGAGCAGATTCAAGTTATAGTTAACGATCTTGGGCAGGCCACAGGTGATGGTGCAATGAAATTGACAACTTTTCTTGGTACTATAGCACGCATGACAATATATGCATTTCTACGTTATGAGGATTGGAGGCTTATGCCCAAACATTACAAGAGTACCATGTTGGTATAGGTAATATGCCTTAGTACTGCTTGAATACATGAATGTGAGTTTTATTTTTACTTTTACTAAAATAATAATTGTAGGAAAAGTTTGACGTGGACGTGTTTCTTCAAGTGTGGTTACCTTGATGATATTCTATTTTGTTTTACCAGGTTAATATGGTTGATGTTTATTTGCCTACGCTTCGAAACAACTCGTCTAAAGGGGGCTCTTCCGGTGTGGAAGCTAATGATGTGCACGCATGAGGGAAAGATGATACATTCTTTGATTACATGATAAGCTCATATCAAGTAAGAATTTTCTCTTTATTATTTTGTTGGTGCGGCTGGAAATAGACAAAGGAAAGGTTTCCTACTATTTCATAACTAAAACTTTTATATTTGATAGAAAAAAGACACTCCTGCACAAGCAAAAAAGTTTAATGAGAGTAACATTGGTGATGATGACTCCCTTAGTGCGACCATATGCAAGCTTTCAAACCATTGGAGATGCGGTAGCAGAGTCGATCGCTTGGCCATCACAGTTTGTAAGTTAATTGAAGAAAACTTTATGGTATTTCATTTACTTCTATGGTACGTGGCTCATTTGGTTTACATATATGTTGTTCATGTGTAATAGGTGAAGAAGACTGGTGTTGTCAAACCTTTATGATGAAGATTATCTTAGTTTAATCGACAGTTTTCGTTCCATATTCCGACTTTGCCGTTGTTGATGGAACATCTACATACATTTTGTTTCACTATTTTATTTTTGTAAGAATTTGGTGCAGGATGGATTTTTTGTCTATGGATGTAATTAATATTTATACCATTTGGCTGTATCCTTGGAGAAAAGGAGGGGTCGTTGGAAGGCGACGGTGGATTGGATGGATAGGACAAGTTGGATACGGCTATGGGAGGCCAACATCCCGCCTAAGTTGAAGGTGTTTGTTTGGCAGATCTTTAGTCGGATCTTGCCTACCACTGAAACTCTCCTTAGTCGCCATATTCCGGTCCTGTCTCGGTGCCCGGTCTGTTGGGGAGGCCCTGAAACCTTGGAGCATTTATTTTTCGATTGTCCGGTAGCGGGTGCCCTGTGGGGGTTGGCGGGGTTTGAACACCTTGGGGAAGGGTTGACACGACACACTTTTCCTATGTTCCTTAAGAAGCTGCTGGCTTTAGTTCACCAGCCGTCGCTGTGGATGGTCATTGTTGCGGTTCTCTGGCGGATTTGAAAGTCCCGTAACTGGGTGGTGTTTGAAGGCAAACAATTTGGGCTTCCGGCGCTTATGCGGCAATATGGGCAGCAGATTGAGGAATGGGCGCGTCTCCCAGTTGAGGACATTCCCCTGAACCCGGTGGTTGGGGACCATGAGCCTATTCTTGTGGGGTCTTTTGAGTTTGTCTGTGGATGGGATGGCGCCACGAGACGGGGATCGCATTCGGCCAGTGGAATGGTACTTATGACCCCTTCTCGTGTCGTCCTGAGGGCCAGTGGGATCCAAATTCCTGTCATAGATGATCCTGCGATGGTGGAACTGACTGCTCTGCGTGAGGCTATTCTCTTGTGCCTGGGACAAGGCTTCGCCTCTGTTAGGTTTGAAGGGGATGCTAAAGTGGTTATTGACAAAATCAGGCGCGGGGATTCAAGAGATAGCAGGATGTGAAGCTTTTTGAATGTAATCCTGGTTTCAGTGTTCGTTTCGTAGGTCGGAGTAACAATAGGGTAGCCCACTTGGTGGCTAGGAAAGCCCTCTTCTTGTACCCGACTATGAGTCGTGCTTTTAATTTCCAGGCCTGGCTGTTATCCAGGATGTAACTATTTTTTTTTGGAATCAATATATGATTATCTTTTGTAAAAAAAAAAATTATATTTTATATTTTGTCAACTTTTGGGTCAAATTACAAATGCTTTCCATCTTCTGTAATTATTTGGCTTTTAACCAATAATTAAAAACAATTTTTTTCGTCGCAAAATATCTTATTACAAGCAATGATAATTGTCTCCAAAAGCATGTATAACACATAATTACTCACCTCTAAAAGTCAAAAGTCCAATTGATTAAATTTGCCTCCAAAGAAGACTATTAGAGACAATTATATATGTCTCTAAAATATTCTAACAAAGCAGATTATTTGTATGTATAGATAAAATTATTTTCCTCTAAATGTACCCACTAGAGGCAAATGCACTTGTCTCGGAAAATAAAATTACAAATAAATGTATCTCGATTTGTATCTCCCTCCAAAAGTAAATAAGTAGGAATTGAAAATAGAATTACCAACAAAAATATTTGCCTCCAATTCCATTATCAGAGATAAATATTATTCGCATCAATATTTGTCTCTAAAAGAAAATGGCGATAGAGGAATATGCAACAAATAATATATCTGCGTCAAAAGACATACAAAAGCAAATAAGTAGCTTTTAAACGTAGATAGTCTCTCCATCCAAAGCCATATTTTCTTGTAGTGAAGGTGAAGTGCGTAGGGATAGAAATCAAAAGACCTCATTTTCAAATTCAAATGAACATATTTTCTAGTGAAGGTGAAGTGCGTAGGCATAGAAATTGGTACGGTATCGGTATCCCAGTACCTAATATTGAATATCGAATTACACCCTAAAATCAATCTCGATCGCAATCCCTAAATAATTTCGGTATCCCAATCTCAATCCTTAAATATTTCAGTATCCCAATCGGTATTATGGAATACGAAATTAATTAATTTTGCAATTAATAATTCAACATATAGATCAGATTTGATTGTTTAATTTAGTACAAAGAGGCTCGGCAAAGAGTATTGCGTTTGGCGTTTGCCTAGAGCTAGGATATGGATAAGGAGAATGGTGGAAATGTGACATCTCAAATTCTTGTCAGTAGTATTCTTTAATTTTTCAAATTGGAGGCTGAGAGACGACTAATACTAGTTTTTGCTTTTTTTGTGTTATGAAAATAACAAAAGATTAGGTGAGAGACGAGAGTGACTTAAATTTTGAAACTCAAAATTGAGTTGGATGAGGGCTTCTAAGTTGTGAAAACTGAAAAAGTGAGGAATGTCCAAAGGTTGTGTACTATATTTCATTAATTTTTTATTTTTGGTATGTTCTCGGTATTTCGATATATACCGATCTCAATCTCATAGTCTTGAATACCGAATAGCACTCCAAAATTAACCACAATCTCAATCCCTAAAAAATAAATCGATATTCGATAATAACATATAATGATAAATTCGGTACGGTGTTCGGTATAATTCCTCTTTCGACTCTGGTGTTCGGTATAATCCCAAATACCAGACCAAAGTTCCCGTCCTAGAGTCCAGACGTGCGTGCGACATTTTTTTTTTTTGCTTTGCGACACATGCAAAGGAATGGCAATGGGGCAGGTCTGGGGCGGGTATCTCGATACCCATATCCGTCCCATGGCAGGTCGGGTTCGGGTTGAGTAATTTATTATGGGGCGCGGGTCTGGGCAGGTCGACCCAATGGGTATATAATTTATGCGAAATCATTAGAATTATTCGTTGTTTTAATTAAAAAACCAAGAAAGAAACCATAATTTGATAAAATGTAGTTAAATTATTGGAGAAATTGAGTTTTTCACTTATTTACAATTTTATTATACCTAAAATATAGTGTAATAAGAGGAAAATCCTAAGTAATTTGACTTATATTACATGTAATTTAGCCAAGAACGGGTAAAACATGGGACGAGTCAGAACAGGTCGGGTCGATGAGAGGTACCTATTCCCGCCCCGCCCCAAAACAGGCCAAACAGTCGGGTAAATCGGGTCAGGTCAAAATTGTCACCCTACAGGCTACATGGAAATGGAAACTGATGCGGCGTCGTTTCGTTCAACTGACAGAGCCACCGAGCCAGTCCAATCCAACGTTGCAGGAGTATGATTTCCCACTGAAGCTGCTGGAGTCGAGAAAGAGAGATCTCTCGCTTAAACCCTAACTCAAAACTCGCCTGAATCTGGGAATTTTCGCCTTCAGCTATGGCAGAAACGGGGTCGGGATCGGCTGCTAATGGAACCCAGAAGTCTTTGAAAGATCAGGGCAACGAATTCTTCAAAGCCGGCAACTTTCTCAAAGCTGCTGCTCTCTACACCCAGGCTATCAAGCTCGACCCTTCCAACCCGACTCTCTACAGGTAATAAAGTTCACCGAAGTTAGGTTTCACTTGCCTCTTAAGTCCCAAGAAGATGGCATCTTTTCTTATTCATTTTTCCCCATCGGTGTGCTCGGTTGATCGTTTCATTAGGCGTCCAATTTGCTTTGTCAGTTACCTAGCTTGCCGTAGCGAATCTGACGCCTCGATGTTCTTGAATTACTAGTTCATGTGAGTTTGGTCTCGCAGTCTTTGACGGTCTTTGGTTTGAGACATCATTGCTCTGTCTTGAGGGTTCTGCTGCTGCCTTTGGGTGGCTTCATTTCTTATCGCAAATGCAAAGCTTTAGCTGAAGTATTGGTGTTGGAACTAGAAAGTCTCACAATTTACTATAGGCCCTCTTGAATGTTGCTCAAGATTGACTTCCCTTAAGTTATCAATTGATTTTGCAGTGAGCTTTGGTCTTGAACACAGTGCATTATTTTGCTGTCAATGATGGTTTTAGCATGCTTATTTCAAGAACTATTCGTTTACGCAGAAGATATTTGCTGGAAACATGGTATTTTTGTTTTTCTTATGTCATGATCTTGCACTGCCATGATCTTCATGAACTGATGCTATGGTATGAGTTTCAGTTGCCCTGCTGAGTGCTGGAACTTCTTGTAATTTTAAACTTCTTACTTGTTGCTAGTAACCGCGCTGCTGCATTTCTACAACTGGTTAAGCTAAGTAAAGCACTTGCTGATGCCGAGACAACCATCAAACTCAACCCACAGTGGGAAAAGGTACTCAGGACTACAGATCAAATATTTAACTTAGTTCTGTGTTTTGGATCCCGAGTTTCCTAGCTAATTTGTATTTCTTACATAAACAGGGATATTTCAGGAAAGGATGTGTATTGGAGGCCATGGAACGTTACGATGATGTATGTCTGAAGGACCCTCTTTTCTTGCCGTCTTGTTGCTTTTTGGTTCTTAGATTAAGTCTTTCATTAAAATTGAGTCTGTAAATATTCTGTATGTTCTAATCAAGTAACTATTCTTTATACGTTCTTCATGACTTGTAGGCCCTGGCTTCCTTTCAAGAAGCTTTACAGTACAATCCGCAAAGTGCAGAAGTATCTAGAAAGATTAAGAGGATAACTTTATTAGCAAAAGACAAAAAACGAGCTCAAGAGGTGGAGAGCATGAGATCAAACATTGATATGGCAAAGCACTTGCATCCAGTGAAAGCTGAAATGGTCAGTTTATAGTCTTTAGAGCGAAGGATATGATTATAAGAATATTTGGGTGACGGATATTTTCTCCTGTATTTCAATCTGAATTTTTTTTCTTGCATAGTATGCATTGAATATTCCGTCGATTCCATACTTACGTTCACTTATGTAGTGAGGTGATACCTGATGGTTTATTTTCTCTTCTTGTTACCAGTCCGGGAAGCTTGGTTCTGAAGAGTTAGAGAATGAAATGTTCTTGTTCCTTGTTGAAACAATGGAAACAGCTGTTAAGTCATGGCATGAAACTTCTAAAGTGGATCCAAGAGTCTTCTTCCTTCTGGATAAGGAAAAGACCGAAACTGATAAATATGCTCCGATGGTCAATATAGACAAGGTATCAGTGCTTGGTTATTGATTTCAGGATATGAAATAATTCTGAGCTGCCAAGCAATACCTTGACAAACTGTTTATTTTTTCAATTTATTGTCAGGCCTTTGAATCACCTCATACACACAGCAATTGCTTCTCCTTCTTGAGGCAGTATGCTGAAGAATCATTCTCTAAAGCAGCTTGCTTAGTTGTGGCAAAGAATATCATAGCTTACCCACAGGTACAGTTTTCTTTTCGATGTTTGAAAGGTCATATCTTTTTCCAAGTCCCTTCCCATCCATTAGCTTGATGAACTTCAATCCAATTCCCTTAATTTCTTGACTAGTGGGCCAGAGTACTTGTTTTACTTTTGAGCGTTAGTGCCTTAGTGGCATATAACCCTTTACAGAACCTTACTGGTTCCTGATATCGTTACAGGTTTGGAAAGGTCAAGGATCAAGGAAGTGGAAACACGGCCAACATGATGGATTTTTCGTTCAATTTGAGACACCGTCCCTGCGGAAACTGTGGTTTATTCCTAGTACAACCGAAAGGGGGCAAACACTCTGCGGGTTTGTAACCTTTGCTCTTTATTATGTCCTTGACTCGCATCTCATGTATCAAGCTTCAAAGCTTCCTTAATAATAAGTTGTGCTAGAAAAACTACATCTTCAGAGAGTGGTTTCTTTTAAACCTTCTGATGGATATTGCGTAAACTGTTCTATGCTCTTGTTTTCAGGGAACCAGAAAGCCTAGATGTCGCTACACATGAAGTCATCCCTCGAATTTTCAAAGAGAAGCTGCCTGCTTCATAGTTGATTGTCACCTTCTTTCTTGGCACCTTTTGATGAGAGATTTCTATAAGCACAATGGCACGTCGCCAAGGAATGCTTGCAAGAGGTTCTCAAGTTTTCCCCATGATTGGCAATGAAAAAGTTTCAGGTTAGCAGCCCACTGCAAGAAAGAAACATGCTTTTGGGCGAAGCCAACTCATCTTTCATGCTTATGTCCTGTGTTAAAGCTCTGCCTGATCTTCTCACAAGTGTTCAGCGTCATTTAGTCTTTCGTTATACCTCTGTACTGTGTTGGTTGCTCTTTCTGCAGTGTAGTGATGATTTCTGTCTCCCAAAAATTTTGAGTGGGGTTGTGCAATAGAAATTTCAAACTCCATTTTGTATTTTTCATTGGATTTCAGAGGGAAGGTAACAGGTATGGTGCACAATCTTTGAAAGTGTGGTTGCTCGCTTTACGACATACTGACTAGACCACTGCAAGCAGACCAAATTGATGCCGATATCAGGCTAGTTGTTCAATTCTGGATCCTAACAGTACTCCACCCTGAGCTCATTTGAAAAGATGTTAGTTAGGATAATGAACTGATACTGAGAATTTGTGCTCACTGCTCCTGCCTCGAAGTTCTCATTGTCAACACTCGACTAAACATGAACAACATAAATTGAAGAAGTGGAACGAGCAGCTTCTGGTTTCATTCCATTTTGAAGAAAGACTACAATCAGCTTCATTAGAAGCTTTCTAATAATGAAGCAGGCCCAAGCAAGATCTTTCTGGATAAATAACAAGATCAGAGAGGGCCTGCTGCTTTATAACTATATCGAGATAAGCTTTATCACTAACAATACATAGCTCAATCAGCAATGGTGCCCCAAAACATTTTCAAGTTACTGGGAACCAATCAGGGTATTCAGACATTACTGTCTTGTCCATTGGTTTCTGCTGTTGTAACATGTTTGGGATTGCATGTGTGCAACATGTAGTTGCAAGCCGCCACAGCTTCTGCTACAGTTAGGTATATCCATTCCTGACCAATTGTTTTGATGAACTGTGACTTGTCTAGCTTCTTTATCACCTCGCTCCGCGGATTCGCCAGCACCAGCTGCAATATTCAAACACCATCAGAATTGAAAAAGTGAGTTGTATGCAATCTGTGGAAGACTAGATATGACCAAAGAAGTAAGCTTTTATTTTCTTTGTACCTTTAGCTCTTTCCTGTCTGTGTTCTTCTTCACTTCTTCCAGCATACTAATTCCACTTGTGTCTATGTTACCAATTGCTGCAAGTTTTCAACAAAAAATGGCATAAGAACTTGGCTTAACTCTTCACCCAAGCCAGTGAGATGTAATGGTTTTTTATGAACTCACAGGTCATGTCAAGTATGACGAATTGCAAGCTCGGACCTCCCGTGGATTTCAACTTGTCTTCCTCTTCATCGATCCATCTCGAAATCCTGAATCAGCAAAAAAGCTAGCAATTGTCAGAATCCAAGTCCGACACCCTCAGAAATCACATATACCACAACTGTTTTCTTCTCCTCCAAGCAAAACATTTACCTTTCTCTCAAATAATTCGCATTGGCGAAATAGACAGGAGCATCAATCTGCAGAATCATAACTCCAGGAACACTCTCCGCATTCGGGTACTGATCCATGCTTCTGTAGATCATCGAGTTCGGGATGTTGCCAAGGAGGCCAGTCTTCGGCCTGGCGAGAAACAACAGCATCCTCACCAGAGAAATCGCAACCTGCAGAACATCATTACATCTACTTAAGTCAAATTTCAAAAATTCCCCTTTCCTTCCACGAACCAGAGAGTTGCATTTTATACTCTTGTACTTACAGCAATCACCAGGCCAGTCTCCACACTGCCAAACACCACGCCAACATAGGCACCGAGGCAGACCGCGAAATCGTACTTGTCGACCTTCCAGAGGTGGAAGGCGGCCTCGTAGTCGATCAGGCCGAGCATCGCTGCCATGATGATCGAAGAGAGCACCACGAGGGGAGTGTAGTGGAAGAGCGGGGTCAGGAAAAGCAGAGTGAACATCACAGCCACCGCCATGACTATGTTCGACACTGCTGTCTTGCACCCTGCGTTGTAGTTCACCGCGGTTCGCGAGAATGGGCCCGAGGTTAGATAGCAGGAGGTCAAGGAGCCTACAATGTTCATCGTCCCGAATGCGATCATCTCTTTGTTGCCGTCGATGTGGTAGTTCTTGTACTGTGCAAAGCTCCTCCCAACTGCTACTCCTTCCTGAGAACAGAACAGAACCATGTTTTTGTGTCATGGCTTCACGTTAATGACAGAAAGATCGTCACTTTTTCTGTAGCTATGCAAATGTTAGTATGTTACTTACAGCAAGAGCAATGATTCCAGTGATGATCCCAGTTTTAATGGCTACCATCAGATGGGGCGACCCGAATGCTAAGTCGGTTATGGATAGCGGGTTCAACCCTTTCTTCAGGTTCCCAATCTGCCAACCAAATGTGTTACAGCTGACTGATATTCATAATTAATAAGCTTAATGAAGATTTGTTTTGAGTGTTCATACTCACCACTTGAACACCATGTTTCTCAGCATGAGTGAAATAGACAAGGACACTTCCAAGAACAACAGAAGTGAGAGGCGCCATGGCATTTATCCAAAAGAAGTACGATTTCCTCTTGCTCTGTTTGTCACAAGTTCAATCATTTCAACTCTGTTAGAGGAAAGAAAGAGGATGAACAATTAGGCAAAAAGGTATCAAAGGGCACATGAATGCACTTACAAAGTATCTGGTGGTGAGGAGGAAGAAGAGAAAGCAACAGCCTAGAATCCCACTTTCCCATCTCCACTGCAACAATAATGAACCAAATCAAAACGCAAATTGGGAACCCGACTGTAGTTAGTGAAACCAAACTATTTTTTAAGGGTTATAGGTATAATATGTCCTTTACTATGACGTTTTATCAAACATGCCCCTCTACTATTTTTTACATCAAATATGCCCTTGTACTTTGAAAAAATTATCAAAGATACCCTTCTGTTAAAATTTTCATTGAAAAAATCGTCAATCATGGTTGAACCGAGATTCAGACGACCCGACATCGGCAAATGGGAGGAAAAATGTCAGTGTTGTCCCCTGTTTTATTTCCCTGGGTCTTTTCAAAGTGAAATTATTTGAATGATTTGATTATACAAAAGAACAAAAAAATTCTAAAGTGAATTTATTAGGGATATTTTAGTAATTTGTGTCGCCCAAACTAAAGTTAGGCCTTGGTTAACGGTTTTTGGATGAAAATTTTAACAAAAGGGCATGTTTGATAATTTTTACAAAGTATAGAGGCATGTTTGATGTAAAACATAATAGAGGGGCATGTTTGATAAAACATCATAGTAGAGGGACATATTATACCTATAACCCATTTTTTAACCATAACGGTAGATATTTAATTACCTGGTGGGTCTGGGTGAATATGGAACGCATAACGGATACTATATCCGTCTCGTGAGTGAAGTGGACCAATCCCAATATTCCTTTCAGCTGTTGCAGGCACACCACCGTGGCTGCTCCACTCATGAACCCGACTATCGTCGCGTGCGACAAAAAGTCCACGATAAACCCGAGCCTGCATATACAACGTCGTTTTACCGTTAACAACCTCATTATTAACCGTTTTGTACAATAAAAGGAAACACATAGCAGAATCAATCAAAAAAGTTCGACTTCAAATATAAGATAAAATCGGAATATCGTAAAAACCAACACTTATTGATGAAGTTGACATGAATAGAACAATATATTTCGTTTGACCAGAAGTCCACACCCCTTATATTCGTGGTCAACAGTCATTAATGTTTGGAGACCATAATTAACTATCTACCAAACTATATTATCTGCATTGCAATATACGTTATGGCACAACATAGTAAAAATAGACATGATGTGACACTCACCGGAGAAATCCAAGGCTCGCTTCAAACACTCCGGCGAAGAAAGTCGCCGTGACCGCCAGCTGGAAGTAGAGCTTGGGATTGTCCACGGGACTCACTTCCTTCCCCAACATGGTCGATATCAGCAGCGATGCCACCGCCACCGTCCCCACCGCCACGTCCCTTGAGCTCCCTAGCATCGCGTACACCAATGGCGGCACAAAGCTCGAGTCTACACACCCCATCCATCCAAACAAACCAAAAATAACATAATCGTTACGACACATCCTCTTTATCAACAGACCCGTCACACAAATCACTAGAAAGTTCGTACAACATTAAGTCGTCATCGAAATTTCTCCTTAAGGTCCATGATTAATTTTGCATTTTGAACAGGTAGTCGATTTTTATTACCAGATCGACTTGACTATAGTACGTAAAATGATGTTACGAAAGTCGTACGAAAGGAATGTTCTAGTATGTTTTAGTTAGTTAGCTAGCTTACAGAGTCCGACGATGGGGGGAAGGCTGGCGAGCTGTGCGTAGCTGATGCCCTGAGGTACGGCCAAGCTGGCGATGGTGATCCCGGCGACGAGATCGGCCCGAAAGAAGGCGAAGGTGTAGCGCGGGGCCCACTCGAGGATCGGGATGAAGTACTGCAGTCCGAGCACCAGCTTCCTCGAAGCCGACGGCTGCTTCTTGAGCTCCCTAAAAGGGTCATCGGGGAAAAGGGTTTCCTTCAGGTTGGATTTCAGCGTCTGGAGGAACGGCTTCGCCGGCGGTATGGCCACGCGGTGTGGCTGCCGGCTGCGGCTAGTGTCGTCGAAGGCAGTGCCCATTTTTTTTTCTTTTCTTCCAGTTAAGGTCTCGGTATTAGGACAGGGAAATGATTTGGACTTAAATGTGTGACGGTTTTATTTGAGGTGAGAGGAAGTTGAGGAAAAGAGGGAAGAGGCAGGAATTTGGAGGTATTGTTTTGAGTTGAGAAAGGCAGCTAGATAGAATACAATTTGCCAATGGAGGTGGTGATGAAGTTTGGAGGGAGGGGAGAATGGCGGTTTATATAGGTGAGGTGGCGGTAGGAGGATGTATAGTGGAGTGCCACGTGGCGTATTGTCGTGGAAAAAGAAAAACATTCTTTGACTCGTGATGGGGGAAAATTATCTATCCCACTACTGACTGAATGACCACAGTACTCCAAACTGACTGTTTGAGTGAGTGGCTGCTTGACCAAGTTGACCTTACCTCACATGTGAAGTGCTATACGGTTGGTGATTTTAGCTAGGAGAAGTGTTTGGCGTAAAGATGTAACTTAATTATTCCATTAGATTACTTTTACGATGTTTGTTAGGCTCCAACAATGACAATCACCGAATTTACGTCTCGATAACTTTCCTGTATAACTAAGAAGAAGAGATAGTGTGCGTTTTCTCTCGAGGCAAGGAATCAAGTCATTTTAAAAACCAACAAAAATAAAGACGTGAGATGACCGACTGTTTACGACGCGAATGAGAGCTGTTATGATAATCTCGGTCTCCAACTCCCAACACAACAATCTTCAGATACCATACCAGCCTATAGTACTACAACAATCACTCGAAAAGAACTTCATTGGCCGTTGTATGGGATCATCATTTTCTCTCACCAGTTAGCTTCTTATAAAAGTCAACCGCAACATTTGCTATCGCACGCGCCGCATCAGTCATCACAATCTCATATGAACTCACCAATCGAGTTATATCTTGTCTTTAAGTACATACTCTTATGGACGTATGAAAGAAGAATGTGTTGGCATGCGTCCCCTTCTTTTATCCACCGAAATGGAGAAATTTATAAGCATGAATTATTATATGAAAAAATGAATTTCTTTCATACACCTCGATTGTCTTTATTACGTAATCGACAACTATCATTTTTATCATATCAACTTGTTGCCATATATTCTATGTTTATTCTAGGCATTTCTCGCATACTATCATCTTTCATACTCCTCGGTTGCCATAAAATCAGTCATTTTAAAAACCAACACCACCTCTAGTGCAAAACCAACAAATAGTTAACAAAAATAAAGACGTGAGATGACCGACTGTTTACGACGCGAATGAGAGCAGTTATGATACCCTCAGTCTCCAACTCCTGCAACAATCTTCAGATACCATACCAGCCTATACTACTGCAGCATTCACTCGAAAGAATTTCATTGGCGGTTGTATGGCATCATCATTTTCTCTCACCAGTTAGCTTCTTACAAAAGTCAATTGCAACATTTGCTATCTCACGCGCCGTATCAGTCGGCACAGTCCCATATGAACTCACCAATCGAGTTATATGTTGTCTTTAAGTGCATACTCTTATGGACGTATGAAAGAAGAATATGTTGGCATGCATCCCCTTCTTTTATCCACCGAAATGGAAAATAAAATTTATTTAGATAAGGGTGATAAATGTTACTTTTTTTTTGTTATTAGGTACTAATGAAGGGACTCGAACCTGGATAATGGAGATAATCAATAGATTCCTTTTCGGGAGCGATTCATCCTTTATAAGCATGAATTATTATATGAAAAAATAAATTTCTTTTATACTGCTCGATCGTCTTTATTACGTAATTGACAACTATCATATCAACTTATTACCATATATTATATGTTTGTTCTAGTAATTTCTCACATATTATCATACCTCAAATTTATTGTCATATATCACACATTTATAGTTGACCTCAATTCATTCTAGTCATTTCATCGGGACATCTTTACTTTCTAAATTTTATAGACCACATGCATCATCATAAAACTAAATAGATTAAGAAAAATATTAACATTGAGATGCTTTCTCACCTTGAAAAGACTCATTAAATATCCTTTACACACTTGGTATAATCAACACATTTAAAATATATATGTACACTCAATTTTTCCATAGAAGTAGAGTTAAGTAAACAAATTCTCTTCCCTCCTCTTCCACTTCAAGTAAAATGAAGTGACTGAATTATATTGTTTTACGTGTTGTTCATCAACATGCGCGATCTGGGTGCTATATAGATATATCCCTTTCGGTCAAGTTTGAGCTCAAAAACAGTAATCAAGTTCGAAAAGAACAGTTACAACTCAAAAGGGTGTCTTCTTCTTCTTCTCAACCTTTTGAACTTCTTTTTTGCTTCGTTGGGCACCGAAACCTTTTTTCTCCATTAATTTAATAAACTTTTTTAGGTTTTGCCGTTTTGGACGTTTGGTCTGTAACCGAAAATATCATGCTGTGGCTGGCTGGCTGACGACGGGATCTGATAACTTCCCACATCGAACAAACCAACATGGCTTTTTTCCGGTACACGTGGCCGGGAAATGGCTGGCCGGCGAAGGACAGGTGGTGGCCGAACGACCGAGCAACGTGGCTGATTCAACGGTGGTGAGAGTGTGAGTGAGGAAGGTTCGGTGACTTTCTTTTGGTTGGCTTTTTCTTTCTTTCTTTCTTTCTCGGTGATATACTGATATGTTTGGTGGGATAATTTAGCACTAAGTACTCTAGCTAGTCGATCTTGATACTTAATAATGGCGATTTAATTAATTAACTGATGAACATGCTATGATTGACTCCAGCATACCATGATCTGCATACAAGTGGGGATCAGCTTAAAAATCTAACCAGCAATTTTGCAGATTCATTTTGCTTTTTGATTAGCTGTTATCAATTACCACAACAAGATCTTTTGAATTTAGAAATAATGTGAAGGATACTGATTAAAGTTTGTCTCGTAAGTGGGTATCTATATATTTTTTAATGATGTTTATGTATTATTTAACAGAGGAGCGGAGCACATTGGCAGTATAAAGAACGGAAAGATATTAGCAAAGTTACATCTATGATAACAAAATGATAACGTACACCCTGAAGGCCTGAAGGAATTATAATTGTCCAACATGTTCGGTGGTAGGGAGGTAATGGGTGGGTTGGGGCATTTGTGTTTTAAATATATTATCCTTTATCAATGAGTTTTTATAATTGTGACGGTTATGGAACAATCCAAGTACAACATTGAAAATAGGGACTGGATACCGTGATAATCCCTAAGGGGTTGTCAATTTCGCTTCCCCTTTAGTAGCTATCCGTCCCCCTTTCTCACCATCTGACGATTGATAATGGCCAATGGCAAAAAAGATGTCATAACCGCGGAGCTCAGTTAGTACGATATTGTCCGCTTTGGGCTAAGCCCGCACGGTTTTACTCTTGGGTGTCCTCCCCAAAAGGCCTCGTACTAATTGGGCTAGGTGGACTCTTATATACAAGGGTCTCTTCCCTTGTATTACCGAGGTGGTACTTGGATTGTCCCATAACAATTCTCCCCTCAAGCCAAGGACCCCAAACATTGTGTCCTCCCCTCAACAATTATCTTGATCCGCCAGACGCCTTGTATCGATGGACTTCTCGGTACAAGGACTTTACCAGACGTAGAACTCTCTTTGATCCGCCAAGCCCAAACGTGAATCTCTCCTGGATCCACCAAACAGACGCAGATCTCAAATCCTGAGGTCACCGAATGAGGGTCCACCAAGCTGACGTCCATCGCCCCAAACCGAAGCAGCCTCTGATACCATTTGTCAAAATCGGGCAGCTCAATTAGTACGATATTGTCCGCTTTGGGCCATGCCCGCACGGTTTTACCTTTGGGTATCCTCCCCCAAAAGGCCTCTTACTAATGACTAATGAGCTTGGTGGACACTAATATAAAAGGGTTCCTTCCCTTGTATTACCGATGTGGTACTTGGATTGTCCCATAACAATCATCCCCTCAAGACAAGGACCACGCACTTCATGTCCTCTCCTCAACGATTATCTTGATCCGCCAGACGCCTTGTAACGATGGGCTTCTCGGTACAAGGATTTTACCAAATGCGAAACTCTCTTTGATCCGCCAACTTTTCAGTCACTACTAGATGATTACCAGTACATGATCCGTATCCAGGTACCACAAGGAAAGTACCAATAAATTACTACGCCTAAATGACTATCATTAATGGAGTACCACTAGACGACTACATGTCTACCAGTACGTGACTACCACTAGATGATTTCCACTAGATGCCTACCACTACAATAATACTACCACTAACTAACTTGAACCATAACTACTGGTACATTTTTGCAGAAACATTATCTGTACCACTATTAAAGCGGTATAAATACCACGGAAGTTGTAACGACACAGGTTAACCCCACTTCCAATGTTGCCGTCGACGCTATTTTCCGCCACACCGTCGTCTGAATCAGCGTGATCGCTTGATTGCGGTACGAAATGGTTGTTGTTCTCCACGTCGACGCCATATTGGAGGTTGTCCATGATTTTGTCTCGTTCCGGATGGTCTTCGTTGACCAACTCCTCCACGTCCAAAACGTCGCCATCATCGCCGTCAGATCCGGCTGCTCAGCTCTGATCTCATATATATTCTCGTTGTTGCTTGTCAATGGGACGTTCAAGTCAAAGCCAAATAAACAACTAGGTTCAGCTCCACCCCCATTCTCCGTCGTCGTCGTCGTTGCTGATGTAGTCGTCCATTGTATGGCGACGGTCGCGCCGCTGGTATTTTACGGAACTGATTCCTGGTTTGATGAGGGGTCTGGTTTGACGAGGGAGAAGCCAAAATGGAAGGGAAAGAGTCCCAACCGAAACAGGCTCTTCACCTCCCTCCAATCACACTCCAAGATTTTCTCCATGCATTTAAGTGGTAATTCAAAATTATTAGAATTAAGAACTTACTAAAAAGCCCTTCTTGTGCTCCTGACTTCCGGATGAAGAAGGAGGATGGACGGAAAAAAGGGGGGAAGCGAAATTGACAACCCCCTAAAGGGTTGTCACGCTATCCGATTCCTCAAAAATAAAGGGAAGGAACCCTTGTCTATTAGTGTCCACTTAGCCTAATTAGTACGAGGGCTTTTGGAGAGTATACCCAAAAGTAAATCCGTGCATCCTCCCCAAAAGCCCTCATACTAATTGGGCTAGGTGGGTACTAATATACAAGGGTTCTTTCTCTTGTATTTACGATATGGTACTTGGATTGT